CCGATGATGGAACCTTTGTCGGTCTAACTCAAGATGAGCTGGACGAGAGCATCACCAATCTCCAGGCTATGGCTGCAAGTCTTGGGTGTAAGGTCGAGGTCCTTCGCCGAGTCGTGGTCGGGAAATGCGAGTGGGCGGTGGAAACGCCAGATGCACCGCTAGATGCACCGCCCGATCTGGCCACGAATACCGTCGAAGGGCTCTGGGTTGTTGAGGCGTTGGTAAGCCCAGATCTGGACTTTTACAACATCTCCCAGGGCAAGTCAATACATGACTCACAATGCACTGCAAATGCCGAGTCTGGAAATATGTCGGCTGTGGACAAAGATTACTCGCACACGGAGCAAATTCGGATTTCTATTGCAGGTCCCAGCACCGCAGGAAAGTCTTCTTTGCTTGGTACATTGACGTCTTCTGCGCTTGACAATGGAAGAGGCAAAAGCAGATTGAGTCTGCTGAAGCACCGACACGAGATATCATCGGGAATTACCAGTTCAGTTGCCCAGGAACTGATTGGATACACCGATGAGGCGCCACCTACCGTGATCAACTATGCCTCCGGGAATGTTGCTGGCTGGGATGATATACATGCCGCCTCACACGGTGGTCGTTTGGCCTTCGTATCCGACTTACCAGGCTCCGTTCGATATCTGAAGTCCACACTGCGAGGGCTTGTTAGCTGGGCTCCTCACTACGTGATGCTTTGCATCCCGGCTAACTGTGGCGACGAGACGACCGTGATTGAACAAGGGACCGAACATTCAGAGATTGACCTCTGCCTGGCATATCTCGAACTCTGTTTGAAGCTAGGACTCCCTGTGTTAATTGTCATCACCAAGCTAGATGTTGCTTCCCGCAGTGGATTGCGAGAGAATCTCGCCAAAATCCTTTCGGCAATCAAAACCGCCAATCGGAAGCCTGCAATGCTCCCTGCAAGCCCTGCCAGTGATAAGGTGCTTGACCTTCAGCATATTAGCACCTTGGAAAGCACTCAAGTACGCAAGGCAATCGACGCCGCCGAGGGGAAGTGGTCATACACCGTGCCGATTATCTTGACCAGCGCTGTGGATGGATCCGGCATAGGGAAGCTACATGCTTTCCTTCGCTATCTACCAATTCCTACCCAACCCTCTCAGAGAATCCTTCGTATTCCCAAAGCTTTATCTATATCTCCCCACGACACCAGCAACGTCTTTGACGTAGACGAGGTCTTTGCCATCCCGCCTTCGAAGGTCTACTCAATAGCCTCGGAGAAGGGCGGCGAAGAGAACCGTGGAATGGTCCTTTGCGGCCTGGTCCGCCACGGCAGCATCTCTATCGGCGATGAGATGGTCATTGGTCCAATCCTGGTGGACGTTCCTAGTGACTCAAATAACGAGCCTCCACCCTCAGTGGGGACCCTGTCCCGCAGCGGGCCGGGTGATGTGTCGGCATCATTCCCGCAGAGCCTCCTATCCGGCAAAGACTCACAGGCCAGATGGCAGCGTGTCCGCGTGGTCAGCGTGAGAGACCTCCGCCTACCAGTCCACCGCCTAGTGAAGGATCAAGTAGGCACAATCGGTATAGAGCCTATAGGGTCTTCCGAAGACAAAAGTCTACCGCCCCTTGGCAGAATCCGTAAGGGCATGGTTCTCTCAGACTTGCATAAATCGCCCTCATACACCACCTGTATATCGGCCGATTCCTCACTATTACCGTTACCATTCCACACCGGATTCACTGCAACATTCCGATCTACTGAGTTCTCCGCTCCGAACTCCCCTCCTCTCCTCCTTGGAGGCAATGCCATAGCGTATATTGCCAACATTCGCACTACTGTTCGCGTCATCTGCATGGCGTTAACTGGGACCGGCGAGAATTTATCATCCGAACCGCCCTCCCCTTCTGAGCCGGAGCTTTTCAACTTCGACGGCGATTCCCAACCCCCCTCTCTGGGCAAACCCGACAGCAACGGGACAGCAAACGGTAATGCCACCAATAGCTTCGGCAGCGATGGGACCGCCGAAGCAGTCCGGCGTCGTCCCTCAGCAACGGACATCAGCAAAGTCGTCTCAGGAACTATACCCGCCTCCATTGTTGGCGTCGCATCCTCGGCAGAAGCCCTGAAAGAAGACGTCAAGATTACCTTTGCGCTTGTATCTTCTGTTGAGTGGATCGAGCTGGACTCTCAGGTGCTTGTTATGCCTGGTATTTCGGTGGCTTCTGCTTCTTCTCAGGCTGCTACCACGGCAGCATCTGCACCTGGCTCTGGTTCGGCTTCCATGTCCGGGCTTGAGGGATTTGTCGGCGCCGTTAGTGAAGTCGTTCCTGGGCGGGTCCCAGTGACTGAGGGGTGAAGTGATGCTTTGCAAATATGGTACGAGCATTGATGGAATCCTATTTTATTTGCTTTTGAGCGTCTTTTCTGAACGTCTTTTTTGATATTGGCCACATAGGCTAGGTGTCTGCATTTGATGTTCGTAGGGGACTGCTTTGCCTTCCCTCTGTCTTGTTACTTTTACATATACCACCGAAGGGTTCTGTAACAACTGAACAAAATCTACCAAGATTGGAATCATTTACGTTCATCTCATTGTTTTGAAAAGGAGTTATTGGTAGCAATTGACTTGGTTACTATTCTCGACTTGAGGGCACCGACATGCCCGAAGTTCAAGAAACAAGGGGATATCAGTTTGTAGCAATGCAGCCAGTCCGGCATGGTGACAAGCAGAGCCTATCAAGAGCCGGGCTATAGCAAATGATTCCGCCGGGTCATCCATCCCCTTAAACAAGCAGTCATCTGACCACGCAGTCGTCTCATTAAACCCGCTTTCGGATTCTCTCGATCCCATTTCAAAATCGATTTTAGGTTGGGGTATTTCTATCAACTGTTTTCGAACGCTGTGGACAGGCTCGAATGCCACGCTAGACCTCTCCAACGATATCACCGGATGTCTGCGTGTCCGAAGGTTGGTATTGGCACGGTTATCCGCCTTTGCGCTGGTCGCCGGGGACATTGGGATGGCGAGAGAAGGTGCTAGTGGATCCAATAGTGGCGCTAGCATTGCGAAGCTCGATCTTCTTGCGCTCCATCTCGAGCTAAAATCCAATTCGTTAGCTCCATATGCGCTGATTGATCAACAGACAAATGAGATACTTACCACCTTGCGCACTCGAGCGAGAGCTGCTGTATCACCGTCGATAATCGGGCGACAATCGTCAGCCTTGTAGGGAGCCGAAATGGCCACGGCATCCGCGACAACAATGTTGTTTCCATTCCAGCGCGCGGGCATAGTACGGCTGAACGCATCGAAGAGTTCCTGAGCCTCCCGAGTAACGCCCTTGCCGCGACGCGCTTCGCGCTCGTGCAGCTCGCTAATCGCCTTCATCTCGCGGGCCCTCAGCGCACGGGTGTCGAGCGCCTGAATTGCGGGTTGGGCGTCGGTGAACGAGGACGAGGTGGAGCTCGAGGGCGCAGCAAGGGAGAGGATCTGGAAGCCTTGGATGCGCGAGATGGGGACGACATGGTAGTCACCGTTCTGGGTCTGTTTGACGTCGCCGGGGTTGGGCGCCGGAGCGGTGTTGATGGCTACAAGGCTGGTGATCGGATCGACTGTGAACAATGTACCTTCGTGGGTTATCACATTGGGTTGGGCAGTGGTGAGGCGCACACTTGAATACGGACATCGAACGTGTCAGCCCCGCGATTCGACAGGAGGGATTAAGAGTTGGTCGCAGACACTCACCGGGCACCGATCGCCTCGCTCAATGCGGCCTCTAAGGGCACCATAGCCGCCATGCCGGAGCCTGATGCGTTACCAGATGATTTTTGCGCGGACGCCTTCACTGAGCTTTGGCGCTTGTTCTCCGCCATAGACCTTTGGCCTCTAGCCTCCACGGACGAGCTGCTTGACGTCCACGATAGGCTTAACTACCCCCCGAATAAAGGAGAGGTCTGATTATTGAATGAGGCGCAATGGTCAAGTCCTAGATGACGGGATCAGGACATCGGAAGCAGAGTAAGTAGCTCGGAGTGGTATCGGACCTGGAATATCCCCGGATTGCGGTAAGGTGGCCCGTGGGGTTCCTGGGCGTAACGAGCGCGGCTCAAGCTGGGAAATGCAACCCCAAAGGAGAAAAAGAAATAAACACCCCCAGGAAATTATGGGAGAACAATGGACTCGACTTCGTGATGGCAGGGTCGACGTTGCACGGGTGCCCCTTTGGGACTAGCGTGGCAGATTACTTCATCGGCGCCTGAGGCTGCAGTCTATATCAAATGCTATAAAAAGCAGTCTTCTGACTTATTCCACCACCAATGGAATATCGAAGGGAGTAACATTACTATTAGTTGCCTAAAGTGGACTGTGTATATGTGATTGAGCGTGCTGGATCGCTCTCTCAAATTGTTGAACATGCCCCTCCAGTCCACTCTAAATGTCAACACTTTACTTTGCATTGCAACCCAGTATCAATTCGACAGTTGCTACCGCGAAGCTCAGACAGACTAAGCCAGTCACAGCACGTTTCTATGAATGACTTTATTACCTACTTATCTGACCTTCTATCCCACTTTCCAAGCTTGATAGAATGCTGATAGACTTAAATTCGTATGACGTGTTGAATTGATAAATATGTGGCCAGCAACCGCTTATTGCTGTGCGTATCTGGGTCATTTGGCCAGATACAGTGTAATTCAAGGTGACGACGGAAAGACCACGATTGTGTGTCGTTTTTGAAGGCTGGGTTTTTGGTACAGGTAACTGATAGTACAAAGAGGGCCATCACATCATGAAACTAACTAAAGCTGCCACGTACATTGAAAATCAATAACAGCCATCAATATATATTTGTTTCATCATCAACATAGGAGTGGGAGCCGAAAACAAAGCACAAAGCAAAAGAAAAGGAGAACGACTGGTTTATAAATCCAAATAAATGGACAATCCACGCCGTGAAAACAAGCGCCATTCCCAGTCACAAAGGCACTTGAGGGACTAAAGGCAAATTCCCACTCGCTGTTAATGCACTGCCGGAATATTCTGGGTCCATGTTGTAATATAAACACCTTCGGGCATGGACCGAAGGCTGGAGAGAGCCAGTGCTAGGATAGTGAGTCGTGAAACACAGTAGATTAGACTGGATGCGTAGATGAAAAAGAGATTGACCCAGCGAGGGAGCAAGGATTCACGAGGAAATACGTTGGTTTGCGCAGTTTCAACGAGCCTCTTGGGTGCTCTTGTCCCGTTGGCGTTTTTCATAAGCTGACACAATAAGTTAAAATTGCCCCAAAATTTTGGCGGATCCAAGTCGTTTGACAAATCCAAGTATCCTTTCTCCTTCAGCTCTTGGCTACTAGACTCGAGCTCTTGTAGATTTTGCAACAGCTCATCGTCTGTAGATGCATCCGTTAAAACCTCTCTGTAAAGCTGACGAGCCTCGACGCAGTTCGGATCTGGGTTGTTGTAGATGCTTTCCAGCCTTCTTCTCGCTCGGAGATAGAATTGCCGATCAGGTTTGTGCCAGTGAAGCTCTCGAAGAAGCTCTAAGCAACCACGCATAAATTTGCGCTCGCCACCCGTCCGTATGGTCCATTGTGTCAAAGGGACTGTTGCCAAGCCGATAGCCGGAATTGTAATTGAGAGGACTGTTGCAATTTTCCAGAGTAGCAGCTCAATGTCCGTTGGAAACGCAAAGTTCCATGCAATGATATGGAAACACCCAAACGCCGTAGACATGACCGCCAGTAACGGAACCGCCACATGGGTGGTATTAGATGCCCCCAGTGGGATATTGTCATTCTTGATTCGGTGGATCGTTTTCACATCCTGGTTTCCTTCCTCGTTCATGAGAACACTCACAAAGCTATCGTGATGCCTCTTAAACTTGAAGTTTGCCTTTCCACAGTTGCTCGTTACTGTAATTGGAACGCCCACTCCTTGGGGCTTGTACCAATAAAGAGAGTAGGTGCCCACTGCGCAAACGGCGAATCCCAGTGTCAAGGTTTCCAATTGAGAAAATGGCAGACCACGAGTTCTTCGAACAATGAGTGACAGGCATAGCTGTGATATTTGTAATACAGCAAGAGCTTTCAAGAAAATGTCCTGTTTACTTTTGTCCTGAATGCCATTTTCGTCGATATCCGGCAAATCAAAATTTCCAGGTTCTTGCGCATATTGGAAAGCTGTCAAAGGAAAAGAGGCCTCTTCATCTTTTCCCTTGAAGTATAAACCACCCATATTTGCGAAGTATGAATGCGTGAGCGTCCATTCAGCCTTTTCAGTATGGCGTGACTCTTGCTCATTCAAATAGTCCTCCTTCCGCCGTCCTTGGGTCTTTTTCGGAAGAAATAGCCTAATAATGCGAGGATATTTTGCCACCTTCCGATCAATGCTCTGGCTGACCTTATTAGTAGCCTCTATTGCCATCATGAGTTCGAAGATAGCATGAGCCAAAATGAACTCTGGAAATAGTATCGTAATGATCATCCATTTTGAAGTTCGCAAGAACTTTCTTATCGTTTTGTCGGCCTCAGATAGGGCAGGCAAGTTAAGATGTTGGACGCTCCAAGTGCAAGCGAAGATGGTTGTTGCGCAACTAAGAATGAGGTCCCATGTACCCCGTCGACTCGGACTACCTTGCCAACCAACTTGATTATCGACAGTTGCAGTTTCATTTGTCGCTTTGGCAGGAACAAGGATCAAAATGAATGAAATAGTTTGTAGGATCATCATGAAGGAGTTGCTTCCACTTTTCCATGTTGTAGGTGTTGTGGGACTATAACAGGCAGGAGAATGCCCAAATAGGGACATGGATCGCCCAGGCCCTTTCAAGATTAGCGTTGAGCGGCTGAGCTGGGCGGGTATTTCCCGTCCCGTAGTGATCCATTTGTATGTATCCACAGGAAGGCACCAATGGCCTTGTCACATGAATTCGCAAACTAGTCCATGCGGGAACAGGGGTCATAAAACAAGCTGCTACAGTGACGCAGCAAATCGTTTAACACCCCTTTGATTTTTAAGATTCTGCCGGTCAAAAATTCGACTTTTTTCAACCCCATTTAAGTTGTTTCTTAATAAAACGCTTGGCCTTTGTGTATTGAATTGAATCATACCTTCTATGAAAAACACCTACTGAAACAAAGATATCATAAACTTGCTCTTCGGTTTACAATAGGCGGTCTCAAGTGCGGTCTGTCCAAGGGTGTTAAAACATTTGCTGCGTCACTGTATTCGCAGGCTGCAAGCCCTGGAGGGCCACTGAAACATTCAATAATAGAAACACAGCAATATAAGTATCCGCTTCAACCGTAGGCAAAAATATACATGTACGTGAGCGGAGCTGGGACCTAAGAATACAATCTAGTTGGGTTATCATTGGTGGTTTATGATGATGCTAGGCGCTTAGCCACTGAGGACCCAGGTATGTATATAGTAATTTATTCATTTATCATCCCTCTAAGCCACCTATTATTTTCAGCTCTCTTTCAAAGATCCTATATTTCAATCTCTCTAACACCATCGGACCGTTTTAAAGTGCAATTTGTTATTACTGCTGCGAAATACCTGCAGAGCCGTACTATGAACAAATCATTGAGTCTTCCACAAGAACGCAACGAGGATTTGGCTCCATTCTATGCTGCCCCTCAGAAAAATATGTCCTTAAAGGAACTATCTTTGCATGATATAAACGACCGAGAAATGTCTGCTATGCATCGAGCAGCCTGGGAGGGAGATGTGGATCTCATCAGTCGGCTATTACGGGATAATCCACGACTGAGCTCTCATAGAGATATGTATGACAGAGTGCCATTGGTGTGTGCAGCCGAGAATGACCAGACGGAGGCTGTAAGAGCATTGGTCTGCTACGCTACAATCAACATGGAGGACAAGCGAGGACGAACAGCGCTTCATTGGAGCGTTCAAAACGCAAACGAGGACATTGTTGCCCTCTTGCTTGCCGAAGGCGCTTCTCCCAACACTGTCAATGGCTTCCAAAATACCAACTCGTCCCAAGAAGACCTATCGACGCGAAGGGGATTGCCATCGAGTGAAAAATCGCTGGGACTCGAGTGTGCTTGGTTCAATTCGCAGACTATCTTCGGAGACACAGCATTGCATCTGGCAGCTGCACGTTGTAATTCACAAAAAATCTTGTCTTTACTTGTGCAGGCTTGCAATGTCACTGCTTGAGAATTTTGAAGGCAAGACTGCCCTCCAAATGGCTCTGCTTCGCGGACAGGAATTTTCTGCGACATGCATTCTCTTCCAAATGGCGAGGTTCAACGTGTCAGGAAGCTTTGAATCAAGTGCTCTAGAGATTATGGAAAGGTGGCCCAATGACAGAAATTCCCATAATGGGTACGTTCTTTGCTGGGCAGCTAGAAATGGGTTTAAGAAACTTGTGACTTTCATTCTCAATGCCGGGAAATATTCGTTCAGCCCCCCTATTTATATCGCTGGCCGAACAGCCCTCCAAGCCGCAGCAGAACAGGGCCATCTTGAAATAGCAAAGCTGCTACTTTCCTATGGAGCAGCAACCGATGACGCGCCTTATGGTCCCCATGGCCGAACAGCCCTTCAAGCTGCAGCAGGTCAGGGCCATATTGAAATGTTAAACTTGCTTCTTTCCTATGGAGCAGAAATCAATGCTTCGCCTGGATCTACCGACGGTCGAACAGCCATTCAAGCCGCAGCAGAGCAAGGCCATATTGAAATGGTAAAGCTGCTTCTTTTCTATAGCGCAGAAATCAACGCCCAGCCTGCAAGTTTCCGTGGTCGAACAGCCGTTCAAGCCGCAGCAGAGCAGGGCTATCTTGAAATGGTAAAGCTGCTTCTTTTATACGGAGCAGACATCAATGCCTCGCCTGGACTTAACTATGGTCGGACAGCCATTCAAGTCGCAGCAGAGCAGGGCCATCTTGAAATGGCAATGCTGCTTCTTTCCCATGGAGCAGAAATCAACGCCTCGCCTGGACCTACCAATGGTCTAACCGCCCTTCGGGCCGCAACAGGGCGGAGCCATTTCGAAATGGTAAAGCTGCTTGTTTCGCATGGAGCTGAAAACAAATAAGTTCACTTATTATGGCACCAAAAACATCGACATCAATGCCGCGCCCCGGTTCATCCACAGAATAACAGTCCCAGGGGCTGAGTTGGAAATAGCATATTGGAATCATGGATTTCTTGAAAACATTGAGATCCCTCTTCTGGATAATTACCAAACCTGTCCACAGATTGTCTACTACATTTTGATATATATATTCAATTGAACATACCTCGCTCAGAGCTGTGCCAGGCTTATTACTGGTCTGATGAAAGACATGTTTGTTGTCTTGACGATTCGCTGCTACTCGCTGCTACTGTTATGATAACAAGAGCTAAAAATGATAGGACCGGAAGAGAGGGCGACGGAGGTTGGTGATCTGGATCGATAACAAAAATACATCATACTTAACTTAGCCGTGCGAGTTACCGTAAGAGAGCGAGTGAACGACAAACAGCGAAAAATTGCAGGGGTGGTAGGGAACTTTACAAAACCACGCACAGGGACACACATGGGCGAACGCTAAACCAGAAGGTCTAGCACTATACAAACCTAACCTTGGAAGAGCGTAGATGTAATTCCTAAGCACCGTCCGATGTGGTGCATCTGTAGCCAGAGCCTGCAAGTAATTGGCTGGACTCCAATATAATCTGGGGTTATAGAGTTACATTCACCATTAAAACTTCGTATTTTCCTGGATCTCTTGGTTGACGAACATCCAAACATTTTCTCCCCAGGTCCTCTTGGTTTGATTGTTTAATTCAAGGGAGCGTGAAGGGCATACATTTTCTTCGAAGAGGAAAATGTAAGACATCTACGCAAGTGTTTTGCTGAGGGATAATCAAGCCTATTGGCATCGCTTTTGCAAAACTATGATACATGGTGGTCATTCAAAAAACAGAGGTGCGCCAGAGCTTTAGGCGATGCTGTTCCCATCCCAAAGCTGTCTATGATCGTAAAATGGTATCCCATGAGGGTATTGAGAAGGCTGCTGTAGACTCTGATGATGCAAGGGCATCAAGCATCAAATCCTAGCAGCGGTGAATCCAACATAGCACCCCTTTGAGTAGAACAAAGAGGTACCTAGCCATGCGGATTACTTTTGATCTTCGGCTTTGGTGTAGCTGAAGAAGGCTATATTTATCAAGTGATAACTATGCCAGATGGGTGGAGGTCGGAAAGGGCTAGAGCCTATTCCATGAAAAGTAGGCTGGAGAGCTTCTTGAATGGATAAAATAGGGTATCAAGAGTATGACCTTTTCTAGGTCAAGTAAAAAGACGCATTACATCTTGCGGAAAGTGTTTCCAGAGGCACTGCGACGTTCCTTTGCCCGGAACGAGTTGTCGGGCTTGTCGTAGCGGACCTCTTGGGCAGCACGCTTCGGCTTTCCGGCAGGATTGAAGCTGATCTCCTGTTCACCGACGACACCACCACGCCGGGTAGGTTTCTGCCTCGACTTCATGTTCTGAGCACGCGAGCCGAAGGAACGGTCCCGAGTGGAGGTGTGATTTGAGGATGAGACCTGCATGCGAGGGGGAGGCCGCTTGGTCCTCTTGTAGTCCGCAGAAGAGATCTTGTTAGAAGAAACTGGTTTCGCCGGTCGCTCGGCTTCGCTATCGGAATCTGAATCGTCCGAGCTTGATCCAGGAACATCGTCGACGGCCTCTTGTTCGACTGCCGTCAAGCCACGCTCCTTCCTCTGGGGCCGTGTAGTAGCAGCCTCGGGAACTGTGCTGGGGTTCAACAACTGGAATTCGCGTGATGTTTCGTCGACGGCAAAGTCCCGGTCCTCGAACAGTTGGGCGAAACGGCTGTCCTTCAGGACACCAGTCTCCTTGTCCTCGGAGGCTGCAGGCGCATCGACCATCTCCTTGTCGTCCGCGCCTTCCAGCACGCGTTTGGCATGCTTGCGTTCCCTCTTCTCCTCCTCCTTCATCATTCTCTCTGCCAGTCTCCTGTTAATCTTAACAGCAACCTTCTTCTTGCCTCGGATGCGACTCTCACGCTCCTGGTCAATCTTCTGCTGCACGGTCTTCTGGCGCTGGCCCTCGGGGTTCTCGCCTGGGGTATCGAATCTCCTCTTAGCCTCCTCATGCAGCATCTTCGGCATCAGGAATCCGTGCGTGAACGGAATCAAACCGCCCGAGCCAATCTGCTTCTCAATGCCCCACTTGGCGACCTGCTCAGCAGTAACAAGCTCGTAGCCATCGAAGACAGTGCCATCCTCGGAAGTCTTGAACGCGTTGGGATCATTAGGATCTTCAGCCATCTCTTCAACCATGTTGTCCAAGAAGGAGCACCATTTGGGCGCAGGTCCGAGCTGCGGTACAAAGAATACGTGTTGCTGTTGACCCTCGTTCGCAGTGAGGAGCATTCCACTGTCCTTGCACCAGGCCACCGAATTTAGATCCACGGCTGGCTCAACCGATGTCCAAGGCTTTTGGTCTTCGATGTCCCAAAGCTTGATGATACGTTTATCAGCTGAGAGCAGCTTGGGTTCAATAGTTGCGGCGCGTGTTGCGGTGGAAGGCTCAAGGAACTGAAGCGTGTGGACAGGGAAACCGTAACCTTGATCCTTCTTCTGCAGGGGAACGGGCGAACGAAGATCGTAGAGGTGGATAAGTCCGTTCGACGAGCCAGTTCCAAGGTTCAGACCGGATCGGCTGAAGTCTAGGGCGGTAATCTCGGAGCGCGCCTCGTCAAATCCAACTTGTGTCGGTGGTAGAAGAACACCCGCGCGGCCCTTGGCTCTGGGATCCCAAAGCTCAACGGTTCCTACTGATGTTCCGAAAGCCAACAAATTGTGACTCTCCTCTGCAATGGCACCTGTGTTGACTGACCCTGGGTTGATTCCACCTTGCCGAGTTCCAGCACCTGCAGAGGTGAAATCATCACCGCCAACGTCCACCTCAAAGCTGCGCATGTATCGGCCCTGTTCCAGGTTCAATCGGAATACTTCTCCCATTCCATCGCTATTGACACCGACGGCAGGGATCAGTGCCTCGGTCGACTGGCGGTCGTAGACGATGTCACGTCCATATCGGGGAAGTCTGGTGGTGTGATGGAGTCCTGAGGGAGTGTGAAATTCGAGAGATCGATCAGACTGTAAGTGGAGAGACTTGGAGTAATCGGATGATAGTAGAATGAATGTAGTGTTAAGCGCAACGGTGTGACGAGAGTAGGAAAGTGATAGTTGGGGAAGGTAATGGGTGTGCATTTGGGGCTTGTAAGTTCCTGCCAAAAAAAAAAAAAATCAACGTTAGAACTTGCGCCTCAAAGGAAATATCAGAAACAGTACGAACCAGTGCTCATCACCCATTCACCATCCTCACTGACTCGTACACAAGTACTGGCTTCATCAAACCCAAAGTCCTGCAGCAGCTCGACACGGTTAGAATACTCCGCATCGTTCTTCAAGCTGCGCTTTCGCTGTCTCGCAAGCCAATCGGGAAGCGGACGAGCAGAATCCGAGCCCGCGATGGTGTACACCGGAACTTCAGACGGATTAGATAGCTTCATGGCGTCGAATATAGATCTTTGCTGAAGTGCGAGTTGAGGAACAAAAAAAAAAAAAAGATAGGCTGATAGGGAGCACGTGACCATATCCGGCCGGGTGTCGGTGATTGGCCCGAGTGTCCCTGGCCGAACGTCCCCCGGAATTCCAACTTCAACAGAAGTCGAAGACCTGATTGCTTCATGCTTCAGTTACAAAATCATCTCTCACATTCTAGAACATCTCAAGTGTCACATCTTTGCTTCCCATCATGGCTTCGGCCGCTGATATATTCGCTTGTTGATCTCTCGGCTATGAGCTTGTCGTCTTCGCCACAGACTATGCGACCAACTGGAAATGAATTCCAGAGTCAGTTGCGATATTTTTTCTTCTATCTTTAAAGGCTTTCGGGGCTGTCCGCGACTGTTGAATTATGGACTTCCCTGGGGGCGCAAACACCAACATACATCTTATTGTGAGCGCCGCATCAGCTGATACACGTTTGTATGTATACTGACGCGTCTTATCAGGATGGCTTCTCCAATATCTACTGGAGGATTTACACAGAAGACTCTCGTGGCACAAATCAGCCACAAGAAGGCCCCGCTAATGGCTACACGATCTTGAAGCATTTGAGTCGTCTCAAGGATCTAGAGGCTCGACTGAGAAGTTTGAATTGCCTGGCGTCATCACCAAGGCGTTTGGGGCTTTGGGTATTCTCCCATACCCCTGACTTTGAAAGTCTGAATCCCCTCTATCTGAGTGGCGAAGAGAACAATAAAATCGTTGTCGGCTCAACAACTTTGAAAGGTATGTATATAGACAGTTCTTATATTCTTTTTTGTGCTGTTTCTAATCTCTATGTAGTTGGTGCCTCGGGAAGTGTCACCGCGCTGGACTTGGTGAAGGGCCTGTCCGACAACCAGGGTCAGGGTACCCAATCTGGGCAGCCACGACCATCCCAAGGGCAAGCTCCACCTCGACGCCAAGATGGGCTCATCAACTCAGCGGGCATATACGCTGCTTTTATCTCTGCAGTTACAGGTTCAATCAGCCTCCAGCTAGTTCGACGTCATGGCGCTTTACCGCTCGGGTCGCGCACTCTCTTCACCGCAGTGGAGAAAATGGGCTATGAAAGTCCACACGTTGATAACGAGAGCATCTTCTCCAGTTCATGCTTGACAACCTTGAATGTTCAGCTCACTGTGGGCGGAACAATAACTATTTCCGCCCAGACTGTACCACAAACTGGTATCATGCGACTGTCGTCCCGAGATGACGTCGCAGATCTACTCAGCATGCAGCCTGGAATCGATCTTTGGCTATGCCCCAATGGAACTATCGCCCGGCTTGTCACTGCAAATATTGACGCGTCTACCGTTCCTTCTCCAGGATATCCCACCCCCGGGGATGTGTCCGCAAAACGAATGCAGTGGAAGCTGGATGTTGTACAGTGGTTGCGGAATCTTGGCTTGCAGATTGACTCGGTTGAGGAAGAACCCTGGGTTGAAATAGAGGTCTGGGAGGCATTCTACGCAAGGCTTGCTGGGGAAGCATGGCGGCAGAGTGACGATGGTCAATCTGCATTACCGCTGAAACGCATGCTTTGGCCTGCTAGATTTTGTTTCAGGAGGGCTAGTTCATCGACTACCACCTTCGAAACCCAGATGCCCCTTCTCGAGGACCCTCTAGATTTCGCAGAGCGTTGGTCTTCACAGGCGAGCTCTCTCAAGCTAGACCACCGAGTTCAAAACATTCATTTCCCACAAGAGCGTCAAATAAAGGATCAGGAAATGTCGCCATCACCCAAAGCTGACCATCCGGAAAGTATAGAGAGCTTATCTCGAATTGCGCAATATCCTGATTTGCAAACCACAAATCTTGTTTATCCAACCCCTCCAGATGGAGCTGCAGCAATTGGCATGAACAATCCAAATCCATCCGAGGCATTCGCTGAAGATTCTGACTTCGGACTACCTAACGCAACCCCACGAAATCCTCAAAGGAATGCATCAGGATCTGGGCTATCACCTGGTAACGGCATTGGTGTTGGCACCGGCCGATATGATGCAAGTGACGAGGAAGATCTCTTTGGAGAGATGAACGACAGAGACTTTGGGTCGAAGGGGATCACCGATGCTGATTTCAGCTTCTTTGATGACCCCGACTTTGAAGGCATGGGTGATGAGGATGTGGAGCAACCACAGGAAATCATCCAAGCATCTCATGGTCCACCTGGTCTGGAGGACGAAACTATGATTGATGCAAAGCCATCTCCCGACCCGCCACTGGAAATCCCAAATCATTCCGAAACGGAGGCACATGTCTCTCCAATGCAGCAAGAAGGCCCACAACCCAATGAGCCACCTCTCGAGGAGAGAGGGGCTCATTCGCCTACAGATCGGACAGGTCAAACAATCAGCCCACCGTTAAGCCCAATAGAAGTCAAAAAGATCCTATTCCCAGAACCCGAGACCAATGACGGCGGGAGTTCTACTGATATTCATGGCCAAGGACATTACCATCCAGTGACGTTTGAAAAGAAACTTCGCGACTGGGATCAAAAGTATGGAACAGCTGGAAAATTCTGGTTCTCAGCTGGTGGCCCATCAGACACATCGGAACAAACATCTGCGATACCTACAATTGGCCTACCACACCGCAATAGAAGCGGTGCTAATACAACTGCTGCCGCCAAAGAACGCAGCAGAGCCAATTCGTCTCTGATCCAAATAAAACAAGGTCCGAGATCAGCCTCGGTTTCAGGCAGTGACAGTGATGACAGCAGCGACGAAAGTGCGGAAGTCATGCCAGAACACGCTCCAACACCGTCTACTCTGGCCTTAATACCTTCTTTGAAGCGAAAGCGTGCTCCTTCAGAAACCGAAACCATGTCTGCTGCATCTCCAGAGAAGCAATTGATTACCACAGAAGCAAATCCCGCACTGAAAGCGGAGAATTTTACGTTCCTGGGCAATTTCCTTGCCAATTTTTCGGATTGGACCCTGACTGGCTACTTTTCTGCGTTGCAGTCCCAACAAAACCCGGTCCTTCTTCTCCGCGAAGATCAACTTCAAATTGCCCAGCTTCTGGTTGAGCAAATTACACAATCATCTCTGAAGCACCCACTGGATGAGCAGATTGGTCCCGTCAACCTCGAAAGCCAGTCTTTGTTACAAACTCTCGACCATACCGAATTTCCGGGTGAAGTCGCGAAACTGGACTTCAAAAGATACACCTCACTGCAAGACGAATTCACTGCAAACCATCCGCAACAACAGCCGCCACAATATCCAGCGCCACCTAAGGATGTCCCCAGAGGTTTCATTGCAAGGTTACCTGCACCCCACGTACGTGTCCGTCGGGGCAAAGAGTACCTAGAAGCTCTTCCTCCCGCTATTGACTTCTGGGAGACATTTGGCCTTGAGCCAGCTCATGGGCCAAAGAATATCTCCGCATATTGCATCCACCCACAGGCTGCCTCGCAAGCAGCAGCTGTGTTTTTGAGACGGTTTGGTCTTCTTTATCAAAGCTGCAGCCTTGGAAGCCACACTCGCGGAGACGATTCTGTGGGATTCGAAACGGGGTTGAAGTCATGGCAGTCGGAACCATCCAGTTACGAGTCTATGATGCTAATCCTGAAGGACATGTGCGAGGAGCTTGGAGCGGAGCTCTCCCAATCCCCACCCACGGCTGAGAACTGCGTCGTCTATATCATCAACCCCTTTACTCATACTGCGGCACTGGCTGATATTTGTTCCGCCTTCTGGCACCTTTTCCAACAATTGTTGGTCGATTCGGAGCGCCGACAGGTCCGGCCTGTCAATGAGCTTGTTCTGCAGATCATCCCGATGGAATTTGTCATGTCGAGTGAAACGATGGTTGTGCCTTCCCAGGCAGACTATTTGAATTTGGCCCTGGAGGTGTACGGTCGATGTCGTCCAAGAGAGGCTGATACAAGTTCTTTGCTTTGTACGCCACCGATGTGTCTAGCCGATCCTCTCCCAAGAGCCATTAGCTTTCGACTTGCGCCTGAAAGGGCTTCGCCGCTCCAGGATGGACGAAGCCTTCATATTGCCTGTTCCAGGAGTCTAGACCAACGCTGGATATCCGTGGCTTGGTCCGATGTGCCTGGATCTATCCAAAGGACCGTGTCTTATTGCCTCAAGTATCGCCAGTCGAGTGCCACCCGGCCGATCTCCGAAGTGAGGAATGAAATCTGGGCTACGACGAAACACATCATGGAAAAGATCCAAGCACGATGGAAAGTTCAACTTGTGGCCACGGAGCCCATGGAATCCGATGAAGTCGAAGGTACGTATCCTAGGATGAGATCCCAAGACTAAATTGCTGACAACCTCGCAGCATGGACCAGTTTCGCAGACCAATACAACAAATCACGACCCGGCTCATTGGAACTGGCCATCCTCTCCGTCAACGCAATCCCAGATTTAATACTCGAACCCCCCATTCCCCCAATACCAATGGCTGTTTTCAACCCCCTATCCTCCTCAACTCCCGTTTCAACCCCCAACCCCAGCAACAGCGTCGCATCCCCTGAACAATCCGGCAACGCAGCAACACCAAGCAGCGGTGGCCCAACAACCTACAACGCCCCAACCCCAACAGACATGTCCCTCGAGACAGACTCCGAAGCCGTCCTGACTGATATATGCGACGAATCCTGGCTAGCAGTCCTATCCCACCGCCTCAACAGCTCAGCCCACCTCACTGATTTCCGTCCCGCCCTATCAAGCGGGTATCTCCTCCGCCGCAAAAGCGCTAACGACGGTGACGGCGTCTTTGCACTAGCTGTTAACCTCATCTATTCCCCCCGTCCTCCTCCTGCCCACGATAATGTCTTGAAGGATACCCTCAGCATGTATCGGGATATGGCGACTCTTGCTCGTGTCAAGGGTATTCGCTGTGTGCAGGGTAACACTCTGCCTTGGCATATTGCTACAGCTCTTCGTGCTCAAGAGCTATTGAGTTATACATTTTGAGCGTAGTTCTATCATTGGCGTTCTGGTTGCGGTATTATTACTCTTTTTCTTGTATGTTAGGTTACTGGTGGTGGGATGTTTTCATAGTTTGGGTGGGTAGAAATATACCCTGGAGCGAATGCATTTGATTTTTATCCCATTGCTAGATTTCTTGTTGTAATAACTAGTTGTGAGTAAGGTTTGAATTCAGCAATTTGAACATAAGCTTTCATAACTAAGGCTATCTTCATCCATGGATACTATCAACAGACATAGGCATCATGTTCATAATGTCAAAATAAAATAATGTGCATCCGATCAAGTCATCGTCAAAGTACATTCGAGAAAAGAAGAAGAAAATAAACAGAAGAACCCTCAACTCCAAGAACTCAAAGATACAACAGCAATGTATGTACCCGATCCACCCCCCAAACCAAAAGAAATTGTACAAAGTCAACATGTTTCATGAAAAAAAAAAAAAAAATGAAAATGAAAAAAGAAAAGAAAAGCTCGGTCTCGTCATCATAAAAAAGGGTATCGTGTCGCGGAAATGTTGTGTAGTGGTAGATGTAGGTAGACGTGGATGTGTATGTAGGTTGTAGTTGTGGTTGGGAGCGGATGCCGCTACCCAGCCTTATCACCCACCACCTTCAACACTCTCCTCATCGCCCTTCTTCTTAGAGAAAAAGGAAACATGGTTGTTCACAGCATAGATAGCGAAGCCGGCAATGGCGAGGATGAGGAAGAGGACGATGATGATGATTGCGATGGTGATGTTGCGCTTGACCATTTTGGGTGGGGACAATCTGAGATTGTCGTAGAGAGGTGGTTGTTCGGTCAATAATGTATGTGAGGACTATGTGGACGTTTGGATCGTTGCTCGTAAGGCCGATAAAAGAGAGAAAAGCAAGGCAGAGCGAAGCAGGGCAGAGTAACACAGAGAGATCGTGGTATCTCAATTGGTGTGTAGGGCACCAAGGCCTTGTGTAGTATACACTTGGAGTATACGGCCAGCTTGTAGGGCCGATTCTCCTTCGAGAAAATTCTAGGAGAGGAATGTGGAATCAGGGGATAAAGGGAGAATAGAAATGGGAATGTTCCACGTTATAAACTGTAGTATTTTTTTCCCCAGCCATGTGTTTTTCATGGGGGGCTGGGGAAGTGGGTACCTGAGCTATACCTCCGTACACTTCCCTGAAACGTTGCACTATACGTGATCTTGATTTTGTACATTTAAATTTAGAATTGGTTTGTTTTATTTAATTATTCAAGGTTGCGGTATCTCAATTCTACTTAACGCGGGTTGGCTTGCATGCGGTTATCCCAGGATCTTCAAGCCTCCCTTTGTCTTTCCCGACTTCTTGACGCCATCATGCTTGACCTTGCCGCCAGCCTGGCCTCCCTTCTTACCACCACCAGTTTTCTTTCCATTCTTGCCACCTGTGGCTGGGCGGACTTCTGTAGTGGCTCGACGCAGCAAGATTGGGTGCGATCCGATATATTTGCCTTGCATCTCTCGTCCGGCCTTGAAATAATCATCACCGTCGCTGAAGCTGATAAATCCGAATCCCTTGCTCTTCTGGGTTCGCTTCTCCCGAATCACACGAGCCTTTTGAACCGACGGGTAGCGAGCAAATGCCTTGAGCAGAGAGTCGTCCGTGACTTCACCTGCCAGATTACCAACAAAGAGACGGAAATGGGCCGGGTCCCATTCTAAAAGAGTATTATCGGTCCATGTTTCTCCACCACCCGATCGAACAACTGTTTTCTGCGATTCGGTTTGCGGGACAGGAGTACTAGTACCGACTGTGGGAGTTCCAGCACCTGTATTCACGCCTGATCCGAGTTGGGCGCCCTGGCGTTTACCGGAAGAGTCGTCAGTGGGGTTGGAGTAGGCACTCTGCCATTGCGCGATTTGAGCCTCGGTCTCGGGGTCGAATGCAGCATCGCGACCATTCCGTTGGTACCCCGAGGTCGGGGTTGGTGTGGACCCGAAAGGGTTGGGGATGTGTGGGACAGTCGGACCGTATGTGGGTTCAGTGTATTGGGGCTGTCCGTAGTAAGAAGGCCCGCTCTGGTATGCCTGGGGTGGTTGTTGATAGTGGGCACTGTAGCTGGCAGGGGCCGCATACGCAGCGGGTGCGACTGGAGCCGAGACTGCCGGGCTGTTCGTGCGATATGGCTGACTGGAGGCTACGGTGCGCGGCTGGAATGCAGTGAACGCATTATAGCCTGGGCGAGGTTTGCCGCCATTGCTTGGTGGCTGCGCGACGTTGGAAGATGGAGGTGGCCGAGGCGGAAGTGACGAGGGAGTCTGTTTGAGACCTGGAGGAGGCGGAAAGGACATGATGAACGGGGTGTCGGAAGAAAGAGAAACAAGTGTGCGATGTGCAAGTAGCAAGCGCAACGTACCTTCAGGGCCTGACTGACGCCGCAGTCATTCGCCAGACGTCACTTGAGACAGGACCCGAACCTTGAGGAAAGGCACCCGAAGAGAAGCACAGAAGCACTTGAAATGGATGTGATGTTATTAGTCAAGTCAGGTGTCAGCGCTTTCACTGTGAAATGTTGAGCAAAAGTAGACCGGAAAGATCTTCGATGCGATTGACCGCGGACAGCGGTTCTGGGCCCTTTCGGCCCCTGTAGTATCACATGACCTACAAAAGTGTCATGCTGTCACATGATGTCAAGCTTCTTGACTTAATCATGACATAATCAGCCTCGACCTCATGCTGAGTCACCCTGACACCCCCACCCTAGGCTGCTTTCAGCCTAGTGGCAATGAAGCCGGTTATGGCTGTGTGTCGGCAAGTGAAGAGTTTCTCCGTCGACCTTCACCTGAACTGTTCACCGATATGTGGAAAGCGTGGGAGACTCGGATACGTTTGTCCCACTATTCGCGCACTTTATAAGCAACTTCCTACAACTCATTACATTCAATTGACGTTGCTACCCCTCCATGCCCCGCTCCCGTAGAGAAGTATAAGCTGCATGCAGGCATAATCGCATATAATTCAACGTTTTTGAGTATTATAGTCTGTACTGTATAGAACGGAGAAAGAGTAACTAGCGGAATTGCGCAAATCCGAACAGAAGCCGAGTGGACTGAGACTCGGACGACTCTGCTCCTGTACCGGATACTTGGCGCTACACCGGAGACAGTTAGGATGTTGAGGTACCGCGTTACCCCCCCCAAAGTCCCACCAGATGACGGAAGAGTTGCTCCGTCAGCCGGTCATTGAAATCCCCCTCTTTAACTTCTTCATCCCACTCTACAACTTCATCTTTCTCTCCATCCTCTTTATCTTCACATCTAATAATCATGGCTGACCAGGCTGTGTGAGTTCCCCCCTCTGCTATTCTGATCTGCCCCTCTACCCTCTACCCTCTACCCACTACCCCTCCATCCCGACATCATCGTGGTTACACACCCTGCGTATTGCAGAACGGAGCGCATGCATCCCCAATGTTGCTCAAACGTCATGCGGGAGCTCTATATATAATCTGTATAGCTACCTCGCAAGATGATACCACGGAGATTTCGCAGTGCGGTCACCTTCGGAACCCCACGGATTGAGCTCCTTCTCTTCTTCTCTTCTTCTCTTCTTCTCCTTCTGAGATGTTTACCCAGCTATTGACAAGAGACATTGTTCGCTGACTATAGCGCCCGTCTCGCCGGCATCAATGTCGGCGCTCCGGCGCACATCGTTCCCAGTGCTGATTTCGGCCTCATCGGTCTGGCCGTTATGGGTCAGAACCTGATCATGAACGTTGCTGACCACGGCTACACCGTTTGCGCCTACAACCGCACAACTGCCAAGGTTGACCGTTTCCTGGAGAACGAGGCCAAGGGTAAGCTCCAGTGAGAACGAGAGTCCGATTGCCAATACTCATTTTTCTTTCCGATTAGGCAAGTCCATCGTCGGTGCTCACTCCATCCAGGAGTTCTGCGCCAAGCTCAAGCGTCCTCGTCGTATCATGCTCCTCGTCATGGCCGGCAAGCCCGTCGATGACTTCATCGAGTCCCTCCTCCCCTTCCTCGAGGAAGGTGATATCATCATTGACGGTGGTAACTCCCACTTCCCTGACAGCAACCGCCGCACCCAGTACCTCAAGGGCAAGGGCATCAGCTTTGTCGGCAGCGGTGTCTCCGGTGGTGAGGAGGGTGCCCGTTACGGTCCTTCCATCATGCCCGGTGGCAACGAGGCCGCCTGGCCCTTCATCAAGGAGATCTTCCAGAGCATCTCCGCGAAGTCTGACGGTGAGGCCTGCTGCGACTGGGTCGGTGACGAGGGTGCTGGCCACTTCGTCAAGATGGTTCACAACGGTATTGAGTACGGTGACATGCAGCTTATTTGCGAGGTAAGACTACTTGAACTTCAAGTGGTGAAACCCTACTGACGGCATCCAGGCCTACGACATCCTGAAGCGCGGTCTCAAGCTCTCCAACAAGGAGATCGGTGATGTTTTCGCCAAGTGGAACAATGGTGTTCTCGACTCCTTCCTCATCGAGATCACTCGTGATATCCTCTACTACAACGACAACGATGGCACTCCCCTTGTTGAGAAGATCCTTGACAAGGCTGGCCAGAAGGGTACCGGCAAGTGGACTGCCATCAACGCTCTTGATCTTGGTATGCCTGTCACCTTGATCGGCGAGGCTGTGTTCTCTCGCTGTCTCTCTGCCCTCAAGGATGAGCGTAAGACGGCCAGCGAAATCCTCCCCGGCCCTACCCCCAAGTTCGAGGGTGACAAGGATGCCTTTGTCAACGACCTCGAGCAGGCCCTGTATGCCTCCAAGATTATCTCCTACGCCCAGGGCTTCATGCTCATCCAGGAGGTAAGGTTTCCTTTCCATAAGCTGTTAACATGATCTAACTTCTTTCGATCTAGGCCGCCAAGGAGTACGGCTGGAAGCTCAACAAGCCTTCCATTGCCCTCATGTGGCGCGGTGGTTGCATTATCCGCTCCGTCTTCCTGAAGGACATCACCAACGCCTACCGCAACAACCCCGACCTTGAGAACCTGCTCTTCGATGACTTCTTCCTGAAGGCCATCACCAACGCCCAGGACGGCTGGCGTAACGTGATCAGCAAGACTGCTCTCTGGGGTATCCCCGCTCCCGCTTTCACCACCGCCCTCAGCTTCTACGACGGCTACCGCACCCGCGACCTGCCCGCCAACCTGCTCCAGGCCCAGCGTGACTACTTCGGTGCCCACACTTTCCGCATCAAGCCCGAGTGCGCCAACGAGACCTTCCCCGAGGGCAAGGACATTCACGTCAACTGGACCGGCCGTGGTGGTAACGTGTCTGCCTCTACCTACATCGCATAAGCGTGAGGAGAGGTTTGTTAGAAGGGAAAAAAATTCGGATGTTCAATGTATTTAGATGCCTCATGGATGCCCATGATCCGTAACGAAGTCAATTGTTTTTACGTTCTATCTCGTAATCCACTCAAATCAAAATAGTGGCCGGCTAGCCACATGGTGATCATCGATAGTGCCGCGTGGAGTCACACATGGCGCGGAAATATGATGGAGTCGAATTGACTTTCGCCTAAGAGAAAATAATTTGAGGCGAGGTTGATATGAAGTTGATGATCTGTCATGTTCTCTACTTTGTGATTTCCCGGCCACTTGCCAACATTTACAATAGTAGAGCAATTGCAAGATGTTAACGTCAATATCCAAATGATTCAAATCAGTTAGTTATTATCTTTTAACTTGTGCTCGGTCGAACGGAAGAAATCAGGAGAAGTGGGCACTAAAAGCTCCGAGAGTCTAGTAGATCCCAGACCCGCCCATTAGTTGCAGGGCAATTTCTACGGGATCTGCAGGGATCCGTTTAAGACTGGAGATCTCGAATAGCCAAGTCGTCCTCTCGTTCAATTGCTACCGTCCACGAAGTTGACTTGATAGTACGCAAGAACGTCGAACTATATAAAACCGCGAGATATCAAAACGAAGAACCTGACCCGGAGGTGATCGGCAAACCGAGATCCGACTTTTGGTTTGTTAGTCTCCTTTTTCCCTTTTTTTCCTTTCCTTTTTTCCACTAGTTTGGATGTTTAAGTTATCTTTGCTTCTCATAACTTATAACTTAAGTCCTTTCCCACGAATCACCCCGAATCACCCGTAGGGTGATTCATGATTTCTCTGCAATGATGGAAAAGCATCGCTATTACGATGTCCCAGGGGTCACATATCCCCTGCACCTCCTGGACGACACGAAATTCAACCGCGATTGTATAAGCTGGTCCATGCGCTTTAATGATGTGCTGGATGCGGAGATGTTACGAGATTCACTGTCTGATTTATTGGATATGGGGAATTGGAGGAAGTTAGGTGGTCGACTCAGACCAAAGGTATATACGCTCTCCCTCCACTCCAACTCACCTACCTACCCACCCCTCTCTCTCTCTCTCTCTCTCTCTCTCCTTGTGATTCTTGTGATTCTCACAGATGGAATTCACAGGCTAATAGAAAGCAGCCAAACGGCAAACTGGAAATCCACGCCCCATATGAATTCACACATAACCATCCAGCCGTGGCTTTCAGCCATGATACCTTCGACATGAGAATCGAAGAGCACCCCGTAGTCTGTCGCATGCCACAGCCAACAAGGGGCCCCACGACACAGCCAATCAGTCACAATGACTTCCGCTCATTCGCAGCGAGCCCGTACCACCCAGTGACGCTTGAAGAAATGATCCACCAGAATGCACCACCGATCTTTCTGCATGTCACTTCTTTTAATGATGCAACTCTCGTCGCTATCAGCTGGCCTCAAGTCCTCATGGATGAAATAGGCCATAAAGAACTTCTCCAGGCGTGGTCGTCAATCCTCGCCGGTCGAGAAGAAGACATCCCCGATGTCTTGGGCGCGCAGAAAGATATTCTGGATGGGATTGGTCTTTCCGATGATGCTGGCCCTGGTCTTGATCAGAAGCGGTTGAAGGGGATGGCGAAGACGAAGTTTATTTCGCGCAATTTGTGGGATAGGATGTTTAATCCCTCTTGGGAGTTACGGGCTATTTTCCTCCCTAAGGAGGCTTTCGCGCGTTTGCGGACGCGTGTCCAGGGCGAACTTGCGCACTCTTATCTGGGCGGTGATGCCAAACCGAATGTTAGTGATGGGGATATCCTCACTGCTTGGATTACTCGTGCTATGGCTTCGTCCATGCCGAAGCCTCGTCCGATTACGATATTGACGTTTTCCAATGCCCGGTTCCGGCTTCCAAGTTTGTTTGATGGGGATGGGGTTTACCTTCAGAATTTGATGTTGGGGGTTTATACGTTCCTTTCTGTGGAGATGGCTAGGGGGCCTCTTGGGGCGATTGCGCTCAGTCATCGGAAACATCTGGACGATCAGAATTCAGAGGCGCAGACGAGGTGTTTGTTGAATTCGTGGAGGCAGGATATCGAGTCGACGGGCAGTCCGAGTTTGTTCTATGGGGAGCCGCAGGGGTCCGTCATGCTGGTTAATAACCTGAACAAAGCGGAGCTTATTAAAGCTGCCAGGTTTGGGCCGGCGGTTGTTAAGCAGGGTAACAAGGTGGAGGGGAGGAAGAATCCGCCTGGGACGATGGTTACATACTATATTCATAGTCTTGGTTCGACGTGGACGGGGCTCAATTGTTTGTGGATGCTTGGAAGAGATCATGGGGGGAATTATTGTCTTCAGGCTAATCTTTTGCCTAGGGCTTGGGCGGCTATCGAGGAGGATATACGGGATATGTCTATAATTATTTGAGTGTACTAATACCCATGGCGTCTGTTTTTGTTTCATCGTTCACTTGGTTTGCTGTGGCAACATTACACTGTGTTAATAAAGTATTTGTACATACTTTTATATTCATTTGCTTTGAGACTAGACATGGACTATAGAAAGACTCAAGACTGTTTGAAACACATAACCCGATGAAGCATGAAGCTCTTCGGGCCCACAGAACAATGGCTCCACCAGAAGATGCATAATGAGGATAATTGGACGAGTTTCAAGTCTGCCACTATGCATCTGCAGTCCTGATCTAGTGAGATCTACGCAATGTGGGCCTTAAGCTGCGGTGTGTGCTTAGCAAGACCAGTTAAATGGATGACAATGCAATCGAAGTTTTACATGTCTTATAGCAATCCAAACTGGAATGATTATACTAACTCACGCAACTTACGCATTAACTCGACAAGAATAGAGTTCAACTTGTATTCAATCAAATCCAACAAACTGAAACTATTACACTGGACTCAAAAACAGATCTAGCCCATAAGGGCAGAGTAAGACGGAGCACAGGCATATCCCAGATAATCATCAAGTCATATCAATCATGTAGAAGCTGCCACGATCACTTTGCAATCGTAGAGATCTGAAGAGAAGAAAATAAAATCAGACAGAACCATGTAAACTCCAAATTCGAACAAACACACAGAAACAACAAAGACACTCTCTATGCACATTGCAGTAACCAATCTGTAGCTAGGGGATTCAGTCTATCACAGCAAGCGACGCACGCAGAAGGACAAAGCATTTTAGAAGCAGAAAGACATAACTGGGGTGGAGACTGGAAACAAAAAAAGAGATAGAACGGTGATAAACAGAAAACTGAGCGGTTGGAAGTAAGGATAAGAAAGAAGTGAAGAGAATAATCAAACATGGTGCTAGGTAGATTCATAGGTAGATCTAGGTACCCTTGACTTAGAGATTTAGATCACCAGATATGGAAGTTCGGGAGCCCAGCTCCTCGTCTCCCACTACCACGCCGCGAGCCCCCAGCGGAGTCGGCACCGCCGTGGTTGCCACGGTTCTCCTCTAAGCTGCGGCGCGAGGCACCAAAGTCGCTCATGGCGAAAAGCAGAGGCTCGTCGTCTTCCGGTGCTTGGGCTGAGAAGGTACGTCCTGTTCCAGGGCGTTGCATTGAGCCGCGGCGGATCTCCATGGTTGAGTTTCCGCTGTTGCTTCCGCTGGCGTTACCGTCGCGATCTTGATCGCGCTCGACCAGGTGCGGTGGGATGTTGGCACCTCGGGCTAGACTGCTGGATGCAGAGCTTAGTGAGTGCCCGCCAGAGTTTCCTCGACCGCGGAAGCTGGCAAAGCGAGGCTGGTAGAGATGGGGGTTTGAGGAAGCGGATGCTCCTGTTGGTCCGGACATTTGGCCGCGAAGAGAGGCACCATCCCGATATCGACCACCAGTAGGTGCAGAGGGCACGGTTGGGCTTTCGATGGAGGACTGCTGGCCCTTCTGGGCGTCGTAGGTGGTAGTGTCGGAGCTCGCGTATTCGTTCTGTGGCTGGATGGGCTCCGGGCTGACAGCAGGCCGGTCATCGGCCCCGAGACTGAGGCTGCGCAGACCGAAGGGGAAGATATCATCATCGTCACCCGTGACTGGCGCCCGGCGTTGAGCGGCAGAACTCGAGCGACGATAAGCAGGGGAGAAAACGCGAGGCGAAGTAGGAATGTCGATAGCACCGGCAGCAGAAGAAGGACCCTGGTTGCCCTCAATCCTAGGATGCTCTTCCAGCGGAGAGTCGTGCTCGATACGAGGAATCCGTCGGTGATCAGTCTCAATATCATCGGCAACGCTGTTGGAGCTCAGCCGAGAACGAATAGCGGGAGTATGAGGGGTGTGAGGAGTGTGCGGAGAGATGGGCTTTCCTGGGGAGGATGCTGTGGAGATTGAGGTGCCCGAGACCATAGGCGGAACCCCGGAGAGCTGCTTGCTTGAAGAGATCGAAGGCCGATGTCCCTGCATAGAAGCTGACATGGAATCCGACAAAACATCATTGGAGTCGCGCATGGCTCGGAAGCGATTCAGAGCAAGTTGGGTTGAGGAGAGTCTCTGGGTACCAGACTGAATGGATGCCGAAGTAGAAGACTTCAACAAATCCTTCTTCGAGTCAAGCATTTTGAGGAAGTCGGAAATGTTTTCATCGTCTGCGTGGATAGACTCCGCGCTCGTTCCAGTAGCCTCGGCCAATAGACCTGATCCCGGCTGAGCATTGGATGAGGTAGCACTCGCTCTGCCGCTCGACTGCTCGTCGTCGAGTCTGTTTGCCCCCGCGGAGAGACGGCCTCGTCTGTGACTGAAGGAGCTGCTGTATCGAGAAATAGGAGGAGCTGGTTTGGGAGATGCGGAATTGGAGGATGAAATGGCTTGTTCGGATGGGATGGAAAGAGGTCGGCGCGCAGAAGCGGCCGAAGAAGGAGGTGGCATGAAGCGTGAATCGGCAGATGTGCCCGTCTGCATGCGAGAGGACATGTTACGAGGCGAGGCACCCAAGGGAGAGTCTGCCAGGGCTGGAGAAGCAGAAAGAGGGGGAGCTTTGAAGGGTTGGAAGGAAATAGAAGGGCGACGAGGGAAGCTGGATGGGCCACTTTCGCCGGCGATTTGCGCGGCTCGGCCAGTAGGCACCACTTTGGCAGGAGGAAGGAGCTTCTTGGGGGTTTCTGTTGGAGAAGGTGACGTTGCGCCAGAGTCTCTGAGTGCGCGTAACGCTGAGATAGGGCTTGCCCCCGTCGCTGGACCGACTTGATGGAACGTTGACAGACTCCCGTATGCGCGCGTGCAGTCAGGATTCTCAACTGTCCTTCTTCCTACCGGTACCGACCCTACTTCAGGATTGAGGCGATTAATATCCTCTGAAGGCAACGACGGACGAAAAATCTCGTCGTCGGCACCCATGAACCGCGAGCTCAACAAAGCCTCTGAATCATCCACGCGGAAGTCACAATTCGTGCGATACGTGACCTGAACTGAGAAAGGCCCTGCAGGCGACTCTGTGACTCCAAAGCTGTAGGTATCCACCACCTTTCCACTGCCCTCGCTCAACGGAGCCGTCAAATGGTCAATAGGAGCATCTCGGTGCGCGTCTGCATCTACCACTCGATACTTGATCTCAAGAGCTGGGCTTCTCCGTGACTTCTTGTTGCGCTTGGAGAATCTCCACGCAGGCAAAAACTTGGAGTATGTGAACAAGGATCGGAAGAGCACAATGCTTTTCTTGTACACAGTCGGTAATATCGAGCCCAGATCGGCTGGAGGTCTGCTCGTTGACCCTCCCAACTCAATCTTCCATCGCTCCAAAATGATATCGTCACTATCGGACTGGTATGGCTTCGCGTGGCCTCGAAGTGCCGTGAGCGACTCGCGCACATCCCATCTCTTCCCGTTCTCATCCAGAATGACCAGACTCTGGTTATTTGTGAGCCCTTTCGTGTCAAGGTATGTTTCGATAACGAGGGGCGGTGGCCGATTTTCGGTGGCGTCGCATGTCCTCCAAAGTCGCAGAGGTTCTCGAAGTATATCAGTATCCTCTATCTCAACATTAAACTGGATGGAATTGAACAGTCAGCGCCCGTTACTTCAACTGGGCCTTGCCGCCCCGGCAGGGCTGAGGGTGGGGATGTGACCTACCCAGCGGTTCACTCTCGGGGACTCGGAGCCCTTGGTGAATGAAGGAGGGAGTGCAACACGCGAGTGCAAGATGATGAGAGCGGCTTTCGTGTGGTAATTCTGCAATCAACGACAACAACGATCAACCGACTGTCCTGATAAGCCCGAGGGGCGATCTGGGGGGCCATACCGAGATTATCTGATTCAACCGAGCCAACGCCTCCTTGGCCGGGGCCGCATTCCTCGCCTGTTCAGGTTGGGATCCGGGCTCTATCCCTAACCCCCTAGCCGAATTCGACCCCATATCCACGGTGGGGGAGCTTGGGGTAGAGTCCTGGTCTCCTACGTCGTCCCGAGTCGTCGGTCTGGAGGGGAAGGATGGCGCCGATGAAGGCACCGCCGGTGATCGGGGATGCTGATGCATGATGGGCCCTAACAGTGTTAGCCATGAAAAGGGCGAAGCATGGCTGATGGTTGCCTACCCTGCGTGCGAGCTGCGTGCGGAGAGGAGCGTTATCACCGGATCTGTTATCAGGGGAGCAATCGGGCAGCGACGGGTCCTGTGCTACAGGCCATGCTAACCACCAGATCCACGATGTTTGAAGTGAGGCGCTAACGAATGAAGACGCAGTAAAGTTGGAACTCCGGTCTAGGACCTTCGGAGCACGTTCTAGAGCTTCTCCGCATCAACGAGTAACTCTGGGGGTGAGTCACAGCGTGGAGACTAAGGGACTAAAAGAACATAGTGAGAAGGGGGAAGCAATGAGGAGAGAGTAAGGTGTGAGGTGTAATAAGATAACCTAGTTCTGTGACGCACACCCGGTGACTCGGTCTCCGCCACAGGAGGCTCTTGCATATGTTCTCATGTTCTTCACATCATAACGTTATTGCCGTTTGCTATATTCTATTTGCTATATTTCTACTATTCTCCTATTCTCTTACTCTTCCCTTTCGTATATTCTCTTTGCTATCCTAACTGTCATAACATCATAACTGTTCACGGTCGCGTACCCGCATCCGTTCCCTGGTACGCATTGGCCCGATAAGCGGCTGATCTCCATGATGTGATCACAACAGCTGATGTCTGTAGTTTCATACCGGGGTTTATATAGATTTATATATAGAAAGCAGTGTTGATATTCAGGGTTTCTCTTGATTTGTTGCTCTGTGTCGAAAACGTCATAGTCTCCCATACGTGACTGGGAGGCCTGACCTTCTCCGCGTTTTCCGCATTTTCGGTGATCTATAGACCGCGATCTCCAGGGTTATGCAGGGGTAACATCCATGACCTGTCTTTCCTGGTTTCTTTGTGTCATCTTCTTATCTCCTCACATTACTATCTCAGTACATATCTTTCACAGGGTCTTGAGGCCTAAGGGTCATTTGCTTCCGGGAAGTCTCAAGGCGTAATGTGTCACGAGGACGCAGTAGGTAGAGCTTCAGTAAGGTACATTAGCCTCCTGACACATGATCTGATAGTAAACCAGCATCAGAACTCTTGTGCCAACTTGCTTGATCTCTATCTTGATGATGTTTTCCCGCCGTAACAATCTGGCACCTGGCTTCTATCGTTAGAAGTGCGAACAAGCTACGAGCACACCAATGAAGAGCTAGAGGCCTCTCATTTCGAATTTGGAAGAATTTTTATATATCAATCTCATACGCTTTGAAAATACGATCGGATATTTCTAGCGCGCTTATAGCTACCAGTAGAGCAGGCATTTGTAGATATACTTATGAAACACTTTTGAAAGTCAAGAAACTGCGATGCTATCAAGCACGAGAAAAATAGTAAGATAGCCTCCAGCAGCAGATTTGAATAAATACAGTCTTAAAAAGGCTTAAAAATAGATTTGGATGGCTATGCTCCCAGGCCGAAATGCTGTCAAGTCACCCACGCGCCGCAGTTCTTGACATTGAGTTCCCGTCATAATTTATGTAGAGGCAAGTTCCACCACTCTTGAACTTAGCCCAGTATCTGGAGCTCCACCCCCGGTGCCTTTAAGAGGAGAATGCAATTGTACCAATCATCTCTAAAGTGTTTCAAGACGACCAGTGGCCTGGTGACGGGAAACATGGAGATCTGTCGCCACATCCTTAAGCACATCTCCGCCGGCGGAGAGGACCGCCCTGAGCTGCAGGCTTGTTTTGTTCCGATTAACTGCTTTGCAATGGGCATATCAGCAAAGGTCCAGCAGGAATGAGTACTTTGTTTTGACATACCGTTCTTATTGAGGAAAACGTCTATCCTAGATAGCAGAAGCGAGGAAGTATATCATCTACTTATAATATCTTCGACGCTACTACGTATTCATGAAATGTAAAATCGGTGAGACTTGCTAGCTGAGGATATGCAGGCATGGAGACCACTTACGTACATGGACACTTGAACTAGCCAGTCTATAGCCGAGTCTTTCTTAGGGCCAACCGCTTGATGGAACGAAGAACACATAGACTGAGTGTCCGACGACATGAATGCCCATTTTTGATAGATTCGATGCGATCCGCCACAGAGATGACGTCTGAGATATACTACTGCAAGCCAAGTGGGGCGTTGCGCGATAGTTGATGCGGCTAGAGCTAAGGCTTGGCCGCGATTCGTCAATGTCTGCGTTCTGCACTAGCCGGGAATTTTGTGCAGATAGGCAAATCGTTGAGCTAGGATATTCTGAGGGTACCAACAGCCGGGTCACCGGGGGTATCTACGTGTCGTATATGTGGACTTTGTTTCTTTCTCCACTACCAGGCACAATATGACCGGAAGGGAACAAACAGCATTGTTGGTGTAGCCCAACCACACCCTATCCGTACTCGTTTCAAGATCAACCAGATAAGCTCGAAATTTAGTCTCCACTTCAGAAGGATCATATATATTATATCCTGACGAAAGCATCTGTGCAAAATATACGGACGGGGTATCCACAATGGGACAAAGGAAGAAAGAACCAGATGAGGAAAGTGAACCCAGACAGGGTATATATCATGAACACATATCAGTCTGACTTATATGTAGCCAAAGCCACCAACTCTGGGGTGAGTGCATCAGGTGATGGTCTGAGCGAGTACCTTGGTATCACTCTTGACATTCGCATCCTGCTTACCCAAGTGAGCCAGCGCTTCAATGAGCTTCAGAAGAAGCGGCTCGAGTGAAACACCCAGAGCAATTGGGTTCAGAACACTAGCCAACTCAGTGTTCTTGGTGCAGCCACTGGCAGTCTTGCCTGCAAACGCATTCTCCACAAACTTAAGAGCATCAGGGAGGGCGATGAGCTCGGTGGTTGCGTGGCCACCGTTAGCATAAGTAGTGAATTTGACATTCGCATCCCAACCACACCAGGAGTTGACCATTGTCGAAGCATTAGCGTACGGAATGACCTCGTCCTGAGTGGCGTGATATACAAACACCGGTACCGTGGGAGTTTCAGCTTTGTTGACAGCCATGGTATTTTTATTCATAACGGACTGGATGGTAGGCTCGGTGAGGAGACCCCGGCCCAGGCTTTGAATATTGGTGCTGAACAGCGACATTTCACCAAAGCTGAACAAATTCTCAACGGCACAGTGTGTTGCCGCGAAATCGAGTTTCTCACGGCCCGTGTCTGTCAAGATGCTATTGAGGATTGGGTTCAGCTCGGCGCCGTAGGCACTTGGTTTGGAAAGTCCAACCACGGCCGTGGGAAGGAAACCGGCGAAGGCCGTGTCGTCAATGAAAACCAAGGTGCCCGTCAGGTTCGACGGGGTACCGCCTTGTACCCAGCCCTTGACGTTCAATTCTGGCGCGTAGCTTGGATGCAGGGATGCAGCCCAGCCAGTAGCTAGGGCACCGCCCGAATAGCCAACGCCAACAACCATAGGGTTCTTAAGACCAAGAGTGTCTTTGAAATTATTCACGGCACGGATACCGTCCAAAACACCCATTCCTTCGAGGCGACCTGGGCCAAATGCCGCATCAGGTCCCTCGTAGTCAGGGGAGGCAACGGTATAACCAAGAAGGAGATATGCCTCAATGATGAACGTCTCCGCCGATGAGATCAAATCGGTTTGGGGAGCACCGAGCTGGTAGCTATAACTAGGGTTGCACTTGACAGCCGAGCTATCATATGCCGTATGGAAAGACACGAAACGATCATTCTTTGCAATGAGCGGCTTGAAGATCGTAGTCACGGTTGAGATGGCCGAGCCATTGATTGCAGTGGTGCGGTATAGCAGCTGATACGCCTGCACAGGGTTGGGAATAAAGCCAAAGAACGAGGCACTGATCTTTCGCTGGCGCAGGATTGTTCCAGGAGCTTTCGACTCGAAGCCAGCTGGCGGCTGATAGAACGGATCGGTGCTGGGGTCCTGTGGAACAGCACGAACAGACACATCTGCCGCCGGAAGAGCTGAAGCAATTGACAGTAAGGCCATGAAGCCCACCAGGGCGAGGCGCACCATGCGGACAATGGACAAGGCCATCTTCTTGCTCTATTGAGTAGAGGCAAGGCGAGAATGCTGGATGAAAAGTAGAGGGGTATGACTTGGTATTGATGCTATATAACACACATTTTGTAGCACATTTTGTGAATGTGATTCGAAGCTTCTACCGAGGCAGGTAAAGGGGGCGCTGATCATCATTGGGGCCATGAATGCAACCATCGGAGCCAAGACAAGTGTGTCTTATGCATTGAAATCCACTTTGTAGACGCTAGAACGAGTTTTATATGAGTTTCCGGTAGCCCCAAGCCACTGGCAATGCAAGTAAACTCAGAAAAAGACATTTCAAGCCGAGAGGATTATTCAACGAGCTGAGCATGTGGATGAAAATTGGGCACGAAAAGCAAAAACAGCGGCAGAAGAAGACTCCACCGTTCGAGAGGATCAGCGCCAACCCCGCCCCACGTAGGTCTTCTCCGTTACTTCCGGGGGAGATCGACAAGGCACCGGTGAGGTACCGGTTGGTCTTCGGGGATTTAAAATCCGCTGCCGCTTTATGAGGGTGTCGGGGGTAAATGTCAGTCTGGAGCTGGTCACTGATGCCTAGAATCACTAGATCATTTACTTGGCGCTTCGTTTAGCACTACATTGGAGATATCTTTCGAGCAGTGTTAATGTATTCCCATGAAAAGAATGGACACATTGTGCCAAGTATTAAATGAATTACGCTTTCGATATCCATTTTGTGGAATGCTCCTTTCCTTTTTCATACTTCCCAATAATCGGCTTTAGCGTGGGAAGACACCAAGATAACATGTATGTCTTAGCTGTCAACGTTATGCAAGACAACGGGGTTTTGACTATGTACCTAGAAACACGTGTATAAACCATGGGTATAAAATGAGGCTTCACACTCTAGCTACTAACACCTTTTCTACTCGCATGTATGCTTCATGCTTCATATGCGTCCCTTCAGCCGTTTCAGCTCGATCTAGAAATTCAGAGGTTGATCCTAGGAAGAATATTCATATAGTCAAGAGAAGGGGACCAAAGCATTAAAAAATGATTGCCAAGTTCAAGGGCATATAGATGTGGCTGCTATCCGCATTGCACAAACCCTCTACTGTCTGTCGGCTACAAATGCATTATCATAGGTCCAAATATTGAGGTCTGGATATTGCTCAGCCACATGAATATAATGACGTAGGCACGAGGTCTGACGAGTTGAGTAGAAAGAGCTAGCGTGGTTTGTTTTATTGAGGTGTCGCACAGGTGAAATGCGGAGCTGAGTTAGCTGACTTAGTCCTGTGGCGCTGGACTACTGTTGAGGTTCAGTAAGCTGTGCTTAGTGAATAGCTCAGGATATCGCCATGGCCATACCCAAATGTACTCAGCGATCAAAAGCGGCAAGAGGTAAGCCCTGAATCGGAAAGGACAGTAAAGAAGTGGCAGAGATTATTCTATGCATATGTATGGAAGTATGCAGTTCTTCAGCTATAGTTTGTGAAGACTAAAGAGGCATCATCGCCGCAGGCTCGCTAGGAATACGCTGTGTATACGCTCCGACCCTCAATATGCACGATGACTGTATGTCCGCCTGACCGACGCTCGGGACTCTTTAATAAGGCTGTTTTAGCCTTCTTGCTCATAATGTAAAGTTTGTATGAGATATTTCTCACTTCAGGCAGCTCACATGTGCGGGGTTAAGGTAATATCTTCCGTTCTCGGCTTTTCTATCGTATTAATATATTATCGTAAGAGTTTATGCTGCAAGAGGCTTGTGGTATCCATTTCTCCGTTGGCACCAGGGAATGCGGATCTAGAGTAAATGCCGACCGTTATTGAGGGGTAGATGCGGAGCCTGATGATGCGTCTGTACTAGTTCGTCGTTTATGGGCCCATTTTATAGTTGGCCCAGAATCACATTTTTCATCAGCGTGCCTATTCCCATGGGATCAATCTAGTCTGCTTTGAATGTCCTTGGGGCTATATCGAGCTATCTGCTCTTCCAATTTGTTTACATAGCGCGCATTCTACCTGGCTTATTTAGAAGAGTGAGCGCACTTAATTTGTTCATTGGCCCCCAGACTTACCTCATCTTTCTGTCTGGACTCCTACTTGAAGTTATCTGATGAATAAGTCTTCGATCTCGCCTATTGTACCTTGATGTATTGATTTATGAAGAAAGTATCCAGTCTCCCGGCACCATTCAGAGATTTATAACTATATATTTTGAAATGGGGATGGCACGATGGCAGTCTGGCATAGCAGACGGGTCGATATCAACGGAGAGCATGCAACCAACCACTCTCATGATGGGTGGTAGACGTAGAGAGTGGCCTCTGATGCGTTGACTGCTAAGAGCCGAATACAGTATCATGAAATCAAGAATCCGAAAAAAAGTGGTCATTTTGGGGTGCATGTCTGGATGCCTTTTTTTCTCTTGTAGGATGAAATTGAGCTAGTAGACCCTGGCATTTCTCCGCCTGAGACCGCTATTCTACTGAAGAGACGCGGTTCCACCACTACAATATAAATCAATGCGATTGCCACCCCGCGGCTCCGATGGTTTGTAGCATATATGTTTAGCTGAATGCTTGTCTAATCCTTAGCAGAAGTAGGGTTGGCTGTGCTTTTATTTGTTAGAGGTTGAAATTATCTCGGTGGTTACTGGGCGGGTCTGAATAGCCCATGTGATCTATGTATGTAATGGTTTATAGCCATGAACCTGCTGAAGACTTTATCAGCAGGGTTACAAATATCCTTAACATTACTGTAAGGTGTGGCTTGCTTCCCCCTAAATTTCTGCGCAAAGTCCCACCTGGGTATTCTTATCAAACATGAGTCGTGCACAAACAGGACATGACTCGTACGGAAATAAGCTTAGGTCAAACTTCTGCAGACACCTCGTGGGCGAATGCGTCTCGGTTTCGGGTTGCATGCTCTTTTGACACGCCCCCACTTGCCGGGCTGTGTTTGGTGTATTCGGTATCGGGTTTGAAGAAGGCTGTGACTTGTGGCATAAGCCACTGGTCTAGCTCGACATTTAAGATTATGATTGTCATGTATGTAGCACCCTGATGACCCAAAGATTAGTTTATTGGGCGTATTCAGAAGAATTTCACTGTGGGGCGAAGCTTGTATACCAAAATAATCACTAAGCCTTTCAGCCCCCAAAATAATAACACATACACCGTCGAAATAGGGGTTTTTATTTGAATCAGAGAAAGACCTGCTTTGAATATTCCTTGAATAAGTTATTTATGAGCTAAAATTAGCAATAGTGAAGATGGTCGGCCTTGTAAGAATGGAGTATTTAGAAGGACACTCATCCAGTACTAGCATCATTCGAAAATCTCATATTGCTTTTCCAACGGTTATTTCAAGATCAAGCTCTAAAAGAAAAATTTGACCGATCTGCTTTCTGTATGCTACAATGGCGAATGCTCTATCCGTTGCTGAACTGGCGATCTATATTTCCCTCGCCTTCCCAACAGTATACCTCATCATCAAACATGGACGCCAGGGCTTGCTAGGGTGGCTCTTCCTTTTCATCTTTTGCACACTAAGAATTATTGGCGGTGCATTGGCAATCAACAGCTCCAGTCCCACGGCGAATATCATCTCCAGCGTCGGACTATCCCCTCTCCTTCTCGCAGCAAGCGGTATTTTACATGAAGCGTGAGTCTACATAACCGGAACTTAATGGATAAATAACTGACTCAGACATGAAGTCGCATCTATCGCATATCCTGTCTCGATCAAAAGATTGAACGGGCCCTATCACTCTTCTACAATATCTTCGTCACTGGCGGCGTCGCTTTGACTGCGGCGGGATCTGCAAAGCTCCAAAAATACCAACAACCTATTGAGAAGGCGGAGAATATCGTTAAAGCTGGAATTGCAATTTTGACCATCTGCTGGGCTGCATTGGTTCCAGGGACTGTTTTCTCATTCATCACGCCTGCGAGAAAAAGCGCGGGTGGGCGCTGGTACAATAGTAAGCTCTCTATATCTGAGTCTCGCCAGATATAGCTAACAATCTAATGTACAGTTGCTTACGGCTATTGCATTTGCTCTGGTGTTCATTGGCATTCGCGTTTTTATAGTCTCGTCTACCTGTGTACTCAGAAGCAATATCTCAGCCCGACTACTGGCTCGCTCGCTATCCGCGTGATTTTGGGCTTCTTGCCTGAGCTTATTGCTGTTATCTCTTTGATCATTGCTGGGTTTATGACTCAGGGTGCATCTAGGGAGTCGCGTGAAGAGCGCGAGTTGCCAATAGGTCACATGTCTACTTCCCCAGTCTCGCTATCGCGAAATTGAGAGTCTGCTACTTTCGCCATTGGGTGTAATAGTGTGATAGCTACTTTAGTCGAGATAGGTATAAATAATTATGAATTGTAACCATATTTGCTCAAACTGGATGCAATCAACTAGCAAATTTAAGCCCCAGTTAGGTTCTATCTTGCGTAATACTCGTCATGCCTCTGACAAGTGCTCACATATATACTGCATTGCTTTACCGATCTATCTTACTAGGCAGCTTAGAGTGCATTACGTTCTTAATGAGCGGTGTTTGAGTTATTACTTCATTCTCTATAGTTCAGGCTATATAGATCGGCTTAAAGGTCAAAGTCCGGATATAGGACAGGAAGGTGCCATTCGCGAACAATGTATGCATATAAGCCATACCTATTGTCTGCCCGTATTGTCTGCCCATCCGGTCAGAAACTTCGGTGACATCTTTTCCCCTCGGCTTGACTAGACAGTGCACGGAGGATCCCATACTGTAGCTGAAGTATATTGCGGGGAGGATGCAGGTCAGCATGTAGTGAAGGGACATTACGGAGAGGAAAGCGGGGAAATGGATCGGATTATAAGAGAGGAGATGCGCATAGGAAATGGCGTTGAGAGCACGGGGTAGAGGAATGAGGTTATACTCCTATCACTCCGCCACGGGCTCTGGGCCCTGGATGATCCTCGCCTCTCCTCCGGGGGCATGGAGGGACGTGCGCGCCGTTATTGGTCAGTCCGATGCGGCGGGGGGCTATAACGGCCTTGTCGTCATTAACTGACTCCATTTCTATAGATATCTGAGGGGCTATCTGTTTTCTTCCCGCCTACCAGCAGAGCCTGAGGAAAGAAGACAGGCATTCATATGAGACATATATACAATTTATATCAGTAAGTTGATTGGATTGTTCTGGAGTGTGGCTTCTATAAGGATAGACATTGTGACTCACTTCGGAATTTCTCAACAGTATACAGTTACCTAGATAATGATTAAGATAATTCTGCGTGCTGAAATAGTAAGCGGCAGTAATTCAGTACATCTAGGCTGTACTCGAAATACCCTATAATAATGTGGGAATAGTGATAGATGCCTTGTCCCCAATACTTGGTATTGTTCCCGAGGCCGCTACCGCGGACCGCATGGGGTTCCACGATCCACGGATGATATCGAAGGCAATCTGGATATCTCGTCTCCAGTCAGCTTCTCTTCAGCTTCTTCAGCTTCTCTTCCTGAAACTACCCGAGTACAGGGAGTAATTGCATTCTCGAGTCTTTCTCCATCGTTTCTCTCCATCGATACCGAACGTCCTACCCGTTTCGCCACTCGCGCATACTCGAACCCACAACCAATTTCGCGTCACCAAAATTCGCATTCGCCGGAACACTTAGCTAGAGATCGAGTCGACTCGTACAGCGCCGACACTCCTTTCCCTTTCCTCCGCATAATTCTCTTGTCATCCAGCTCCGTCGCGGTCTCTGACGGCGACGTCTAGCTTGGGCCTGATAAGAGATTCGGCGCGTCGATCAGTCCGGGCACATGAGTAACAAGCTTTGGGAGTTTTTCATACAAGATGATGTCGAGAGCTTCCAGCGGTTCCTGGCGAACGCGACGTTCGCGGGGCCACGAGCTGCAGGCTCCGGAACGCCTGCAGCGGCCAACCTGTCAGCAAAAAGTGCGAGCCCTGGGGCAATGATCGCATCATCTCCAAACCCACCGAGAAGCAAGAAAAGTCTGGGATCGTCGCCTGGAACACCTGTGTCGGATAAATCGCAACGCGGGACCGTGAACTTGTCGCGCGCCGACGTGAATGCGCGGGACCATTACGGCCGCACACTGCTTCACCATGTCGCCTCGTCCTCGAAACTTACCGCCGCCCCCTTTGCACGTGCTTTACTGGAAGTTCCGTTCCTTGATATATATGCGCAGGACTGGGAGAGTGGGTGGACCGCCCTGCACCGGGCTCTTTATGCTGGTAATGCAACGATCGCCCAGGCGCTCATGGCGCGCGACGTGCAAGACATGACAGATTTCAGCAAGATCGGGACTACAAGCCATCCAAGTGGTGGCCTGATTAAAATCAAAGATCGCGAGGGTTTCAGTCCGTTCGATGTCTTCGGAGCAACCATCACGGCCCGCGACATCAAGCAGATCTCATCTGGGAGCTGGCCAAGGTCGATGGCCGATGATATGGATAGCGATGCTGCGTCCAATGCCGCCTCAAACTACGGAGATAATGGGGAAGATAATGCATATGTCGCTAAGAGTGTCTTGAAACCTCTTCTGGATGTCTCCGCCGATGAAGTATTCACTCTCGGCAGTAACAAGAACCTCAACCTTGGTCTGGGTGATCAGGATGACCGACAGTTCCCGGAGCGGATATCTTTGAAGCGCCCCGAGCATCTTTTGCATCGGTTCTATCGCGAATATCTGGAAGAACTAGAACGGCTTGGGCTTGAAGATACCATCCCCGACGGTAACTTGAAAGAATTGCCTACATTGATAAGGAACAAACCCATGAAATATCAAAACATCGTCATGTCCAAACTGCATACCGCCATCATCACGGACGATCCCGAGGCTAATCTGTTCATGTGTGGCTTCGGCCCAGGCGGACGCCTAGGAACAGGCGATGAGTCGACGCGTTTTACCTTCGTTTGCATTGAAAATGGTGGTTTGGATGGAAAGAAGGTCGTCTCGGTTGCTTTGGGTCAAGACCATACCCTGGCAATCACAGAGCACGGTGAAATCTTCAGCTGGGGTAGCAACAAGTTTGGACAACTCGGTTACGGTCTTCCTAGAACCAACAACCGAAACGATGTCCCTGTGCAGTTGACGCCTCGTCAGATTTTCAATCCATTCAAGAAGGAAACCATCCTAGGCGCAGCAGCATCGTCTATCCACTCGGTCGTATTCAGCACCTCTGGTCTGTATACATTTGGAAAAAACGAAGGCCAGCTCGGTTTAGTCGATTCCGATGCTCGTTCTCTTGAAGTTCAAACCACACCAAGGCGTGTCGGAGCATCTCTCTTCAGTTGCCCAATTCAGATGGTCTCTGCCATTGATCGTGCTACGGCCGTCCTTCTACAGAACCATGAGGTTTGGGTATTCTCATCCTATGGTTACTCGAAGCTTTCATTCCCCCTGGAAGTAAGCTCGAGATTTATCCGGGATAGCTTCATGGCTACCAGATATGACGGATCCGCCAACCACATTGTGAAACTGACAAGTGGCGGAAACACAATCTGTGCTCTATCCAGTTCTGGTGAAGTCTTCACTGTTCAAGTCAACCAGTCTGAAAACTCTTCGGCTTTGGCTTCTACGACCAATCCTGCCAAGATTCGCAATTCACTGGCCACTCCTGTTCGAGCATGGTCTGTTAAGAAGTCCCACATGGCAGCGAGCGATGTCGATGTTGGACAAGACGGCTCTATTATCATCTGCACAACCTCCGGATCTGCCTGGAGAAAAGAACAGCGGACAAAGAAGAAGGAGGGTGCTTCGAAGGACTACAAATTTGCTCGTATCCCTGGTCTCTCGCGAGCAGTGGCAGTTCGCAGCAACGCCTTCGGGGCCTATGCTGTGGCTCAGCGTGACTGCGATGTCACCAAGGAACAAATTCATGTTGAGCCCAGCAACCTTTGGGATGACATCTTGCCTTTGTCTCCATTCACAACCCCCGAATTGGAAGACGTGGATGCCATTCTGGAAGAGGATGCCCAGACTATTCCTGTTGTGCTTTCCTCCGGTAAAAGCATCCAACGCGCCATCATATCATCCTCCGACATTGAAAATGAGTTTGTGCCTATTTGGTCCGAAGGGACTGTTTGGGTTACTAGCTCTGTTTCGGAGTCTCGCATTCCCGTCCATGAACTTCTCCTGGCTGGTCGCAGTCCAGTTATGAGAAAGGCTCTGGAAGAGTTCAGGCAATCATACTATTCCTCCGTCTTAGATGTGTTTGATATCGAGTATGGGAAGGACGGACACCCTCAAATCCGGATCCACGGTGTCGATTTCCTGACCATCCTCAACGTGGTGTTCTTCCTTTACACAGATGGCATACTCGATGTCTGGCACCTGGCTAGGAGCTCGCCCGCAAACGCGACCCGTTACCGACAGGTTCGCACTGAGGTTATGCGGGTCGCTATGCAACTAGGATTGCCAGCCTTGGAACGCGCAGCGAGATTAATGGTTGAACCAGAAAAATGCCTGAAGACTGATATGGCACATGCTATCAACCACTCCTCGTTCTTTGATAGCGCGGATGTGGTAGTCCAGCTCAAGAGTGACACCGTTAAAGTGCACAGCCAAGTTGTATGCGAGAGATGCCCATTCTTTGACGTTCTTTTCAATGGCCGTGCGGGTGGAAAATGGATAGCATTGCGCAAAGCGGACCCTACCGAGAAGGTGCATGTTGATCTGAAGCACATTGATCGTTCCGTCTTTGACTTTGTGCTGCGTTATCTTTATGCTGATACCGAGGAGCGTCTTTTCGATGAAGTTCGGACGAGCGATGTTGACGACTTCATTGATCTACTCCTGGATGTCATGTTTGTGGCAAACGAGCTTATGATCGACCGACTGTCTCAAATCTGTCAGAAGATGCTTGGTCGTTTTGTCACAACTCGCAACGTGTGCTACCTGCTTAACTCTGTTACCCCTTGCTACGTTACAGAGTTCAAGGATGCTGCTCTGGAATACATTTGCCTCAATATGGAGGCTATGTTGGTCAACAGATATCTCCACGATTTGGACGACAGTCTCCTCCACGAGTTGGATTTGATCTGCCATGAAAACCAGCTATCCTGCTGGCCCGTTTCCCGTGGACGCAACTCTGAAGATTATGTCTTCGAGAAATATCCTGAGATCGTCGGCTCCGTTGAGACAGACAAGCAGCGAAGGATTGACGCCATGGCCTTGCAGACTCGCCTTGATCGTCTTGAATCGTACGACGTTCGATCTCGGCAGACACCAAATGAGAAGGTCACTGCATCTTCATCGACGCGCAAAGGGAAGAACGCTCCCCCCAAAGAGTCGCCAAAGGCCAGCAACAGTCCGATGCTCAAATCGAGGCAATCAGCAAGCGATCTTATGTTCCAGATGGATGACGAAGGTCTTATGACACCCGATTCGAAGGGCAAAGGTGCCATGCGTGGAGTTAAGTTTAGAGAAGGTATTCCCGAGGATAGATCATATCCTGATTCCCCGGCATTGGGAGCAAGCCTACCAGAGGCCATGTCATTGGGCGAGGGTAACTTCTTGGATGATCAAATGGCCTCTCCACAAGACATGACACTCGCACAGTCTCCATCCGAGACTAGGGCGATTACTCTCAACCAGAAGCGCGCTTTGCCATCATTATCTGGACAATCATCCGCGCCATGGAATCAGCATATGATCTCGAGCTCCAAGAAGGATCTCAAAGATATCATGGGCGAAACATCACAATCTCGGGTGTCAAACCTTACGCTGGGGATGGCAGACCGACGTGAAAGCAGTGGCAATTTCACACCAAAGATTTCCCAAAAGGAGAGAAAGAAGATCCAGCAACAGCAGGCGCAGGAACAACTGGCAGCGCAGCAGAAGGCGAAAGACGCACCCTCGAACCCCTGGCAAAAGCCAGCACCTCTGCCAGTAACACCAGTCAAACTCGATCCTCTACCAGGCCAAAGCGTTCAATCTCCCGAGCCTGCTAAAGCAGCCCAGAAGTCCATGACTATGCGACAAACTGTAGCTGGCACACCCCCACCAAAGTCAAAGCCAATTGCAACACCAGTGCAAACCCAATGCCGCAGCATTTCAACCAGCTTGCAGCCAGGATCCCACTCCAAGCCCTCCCCATCGGGACCTTCCACATCGCAGACTATCACATCACCCCAACCAGCCATCCAATCAATCCGTCACATTCCCCGTCCCGATCTCACGGGGTCACGATCCCCATCCTCAGGCTCATACTCTCTATCCACAATCCTGCTCCAACAACAAAGTGAAAAGGAAGCAATCCGCGAAGCAGCTACAGCAAAGCACAACATGCAAGAAATCCAAGCTGAACAAGAGTTCCAGCAATGGTGGGACCAGGAAAGCAAACGTGTACAAGGGCTAATGGACCCCGAGCCAACGGAACCTCGTTCTGGCAAGAGTGGACGCGGCGGCAAAGCGCCTGGTACTCCGCGCAAGCGTCGCGGTCCCAAGAATACCGCTGGCGATAGGCCTGGTACTCCAAATCAGAAGAGTCCGTCGGTTTCAGGATCTGGTCGTCCTACTCCTAAGACAAGTGCAAATGGTCCCTCTCCGGCTCAGCCGCAAAAAGTTCCGAATGGAAATCGTGCTGGTGATGGTGCTGGGGGTCCTAACCCCAATCCTCGGCGTGGAGGACATGGGGGGCAACGTGGTAAGGGGAAGGATCGTGGTTAAGAGTATAGACTACCTTCTCCCTGCTGTTTGATTAATAGTCTGTTTTGGTCCTTTGTTTCGGGTGTCTTTTTGTACATTTCCTGACCCGATCAACTGTTTTGTATGAAGACATGAACTTCTATAACTTTACTTCAATCCTTTTTTCAGGCTTCTTTCGGATCCTCTATGCAACTTTCTTTGGACCTCCCTACTCAACCCCCCTCTTTTGAAAGACATTACTGTTTTCTTGTCTTCCTCGGTGGTCTTTAAGATTTCTTCGTTAACAATAGCGTTTGACTGACGGTTGGACAACTTAGAGGCCACTGTGTAACACGATAGACTCCGTTTAGGATACACTACTCTCTATTTACTCAGTTCACTTCTGGAAAGGATACCTCTATTGAATATCATCTCTCCTCTGAAGACCTAATCCCTGAATATCTTGTGCACAATTACCCATCCATGCCAAAACAATACCAATATAAATCAGCTCCACCCTATGACCGACATTCCCAACGCACATTCGCAGGCTGCATAGGCCGCGAAAAGAGAGACTAAATACCCCAAAAAGTCAGCCCAAATATCCTCAAACCCACATCCACGAGAAATACATACCGAGTAATCCGTATCCGGCACACCCTCCACCCCCTCAGGATTATAAAACCTAAATCTCCTCACCATCATAGCAACAATAACCTCAAGATTAAGATACGCAAACTTCTCCCCAATACACCGATGCCTGCCCGCCCCGAAAGGCAAATACGGACTCCGTGTCCCCTTAGAAACAGCCCCATACCCATAATCAACCGTTTCAGACTCATCCTCCTCCTCAACCCTCTCCTCCCACCGATGGGGATCCCACCGCAACGGATCCCGGAAGTAGCGTGCATCCCGCGCCGTAACGCCCGGACTAGAAAGAAGCGTATGCGAAGGCGGAACGATAAAGTCCGTCCCCGGGACTGGAAGGGGATTCTTCACTTTGCGCATGAGTGAATGGATGGAAGAGTGGATGCGTAATGTCTCCTTGACGACGTTGTGGTGGAGTGGTAACTTGTCGAGATCTTTGTATTCCAATGGTGGGAGGTCTGAGCCTAGGTTCTGCAGTTGTTCTTCGTAGAGCTTTTCTGTCATCGAGGGGTTTGAGGCTAGACGGAGTATTATCCAGCAGCTTATTGCCGATGAGGAGTGTTGGCCTGCCATTAGGAGGGTTATCATCATGTGGGCAATTTCTTTGTCCGGGACCGGTGTGCCGTCCCGGTAGATGCTGCCCATTAGGTTGGAGATCATATCTGTGCCTTTTGTTGTGTCTCTGGCTGGGCTTGAGCTTGGGCTTGAGCCGGCTTTGGGGCCGGCTTCTCGTCTTGCTTGGATGATTTCGAGGTAAATTGCTCGCATGCGAGCATGGGCTATGTCTCGCTTGCGGTTGTGTGGTAGTGGTGCCCAAGGCAACATGAAGTTGATTGGTTGGAAGCCTAGGTCGAGGTCGTGGAAGAGTTCAGCGAATTCGGATGTTAGTTTTGACCGGACTTCTTCGCCTTGGAGGGTGCGGGCTGCTGTGAAAATGGTTATCTCTGCCATGGCTGCAGCTAGATCGATGGTTCCGGATTCGCCTTTGAAGTTGCCCGAGGATTTGATGTAGGAGGTGACTTCGTCGGCGATTAGGGGGACGTAGGATTCCAGGGCTGTTTGGCTTAGGCCGAATTTTATAAACTGATTTAGGGGCAGCATGGTCAGTACTGTGTACTTGGTTAATGAGATGGTATAGAAGAGAATTAGGTACCTTCTTTTGTTCCATGAGTTTGGAATTAGGACAGTCGTAGACAACACCGGTCCCAAAGATGGGTGTAGTGAGCTTGCTGTAGATTTCTTCTGCGTTGACATCCTTAAGTTTTCCATTTAGGATAAACTCGTTGCCTTCGACACCTAGGTGGACAGTTGTCTTCTTTCCTAGCAAAATGAAAGTGAAGACATCCCCGTACTGATTGTTTGTGAGTGGGCGACATTGGTGATAGATATACTTCCGCAGAGAACACTCACCTTTGCACGGCACGCAAAGAAGAACTGATACGGGTCCATGCCATAGGCAACTGTACTTCCAATAAAAGGAACCCAGTGAAAGACCACAGGGGGTTCTTTCCTGCTGTAAAAGACGAGCTGGTTGATCACATTGAGGATGATTGAGACCAAGAGGATTCCGGTGGTGTAGTAGGCAATTCGCAGAATCTGGCCTGCAACCAGCGACACGAGTAAGTCCATGATTAGAGAATGAAAGTAAATTGAATGTTCATCTGTACAATAAACATGGTGACATGTTTATACTTAGGGCCTTGTAGGGCAAATCAGCAGGGCGGGATTGGCCATTACTCATCCAGTCAGGCCATGCCCGCAACCCCGGATGTCGCATCAACCGAAAGGAATGAAAGGGGCCATTCGTAGGCAGCGAATTTGTTATGCAGGGGTAGAACAAATGATAGTAGAGGGATTAGGGGGCACGGATAGCTGGGGTCCAGAGTGGGCTGAGGCTTGCAATTACGTTATGTAGGATTGGCTCGCAAGTTAAGATATATCAACAAATGTAGAAAGGACACAGGAAGATAGGTTATGTTCGGTCTGGACGCTGCTAATGATAATGTTAATAATGACTGAAAAGTTCCAAAGAAATGCCACCAACGCCAAACAACCGTGCAAGCTAAAGAATTGTCATGAACGTATTAAGGAAAAGATGAGGTGAAACATCGTAAGTTAGCCGTGCGTGGCTACCTCTCGGCTTTCCCAGATCCGACGGATCATCATTTCGGCGTCGTTGACCTGGTAGTCTTCAACTTCGTTCTCGCCTATGAGATCCCGTGAGGCTTCGGCGGAGGTGGAGAGGATGCGAGAAGAAGGATCACTGGACTTGGCAGACTTGGCGGGGTCGTTGTTGGCCGCTGCATCTTCGATAGTGATTGGGTTACGAGTTGATGGTTTAGATGCGGGACTTGAGCTGAGGCGACTGGGACGCTTGCCTTGTTGGAGAAGAGGCAAAGAGGGGGCTGGTTTGACTTGCTTGCCGAGTGTTGATGACGTTTGTGCAACCTTAGCTGCTCGGGCAACATGACGAAGTCGGGCGAAACTCTCTCCGGTGGGAGATTGGAAACGTCGCACAACCGTGAGTTCTAATGAGGTTTTCTCGTACGCCTTGCGGATATGCCGAGTTTCACCGTCATGTCCTGCGCCTCCAGCTCGACTGCCGCTGGTCAAGCCTCGGCTGGCGTCAAATGTGACAGTACCAGGGCGCGTATGGTTGACTGTGTTGAAGGTTGGGTCAACCGTGGACGGGGCTGCCGAAGGGGGAACCCCGTGGCTATCAGGGGGAGAGTTGTTGAGAGTGGCAGTGCGTTGAAGCCATAGCTTCTGTTGTGTCCGAGAAGGCAAGTCAGCACCACGTGGGCGCGCAGGAGAAGCAGTGGATTTGCCAGTGGCGCGACCAGGAGAAGGCGGGGTTTGCGGATGATAGTGAGGGAGGAATGAAGATGGGGTGTTCGGGTCAGAATCAGTACGGGATGATGCTTGGATGCTGTTCTTGTTGTTCATAATGAATCTCGAGACACCTCCTTCCATAGAGGATGAGGTAGCGTGAGGGTGAGAGCCAGGCATGCTGGCCATGCTGGCTGTAGAATATGTGCGGCGGGCGCTTTCCTGGCCAGCAGCCAGGTTGAGAGATGCGCTGCTGCGCGATGCGGGATCCTTGGCCGCTGGCTTGACCATCGCCGAAATCGAAGACATGGCGGGAGGTGCTTTGGCCGAGTGGGAGGGACTGAGAAGGCGGGTTGCGATATCACCTTGCTCAGTGTGCTGGCTAGAGTTTTCGGAGTCGTTGTCAGAGTGGGGGTGGTCCTCGTCTTCCTCTTGGTCCTGGCCTTCTTCCAATTCGGCACGTTCCCGAGCAAACTTGCTTGTGATCGATTCTGGGAGACTGGTCGCCCGAGCAATCTGAGGGTAGGGGCGCTTCACGAATGTAAGGGGATCGACAAGAATAGTGGTGTTATCAGCGCTGTGGTTGGATGGCACGACAGAGTTGCGCCGCGTACTTTCGGGCGACTGGGTGGTATCTTCCCAATCAGCGTCGTCGACCTCGACGTCGTCATCACCCAGCTCGAAGCCGACCGTCTTCTTTTTTGCCGCACTGGAATGGGGTCGTTCGGTGACCAACGCTTTCTTCCCGACAGCCGAGTTATTCCGGCGCAAGGCAGGAGTCGAATAGTTTCTTTTCATAGGAGGAGCGGTGGGGTGATTATCGACGGCATTATCCCAACGAACATGTCCACCTTCTTTGGGGCTTGCTATCGGAGTTGCGGGCGCAGACTTCTTGCGCTGATGATGACGCCCGGTAGTTTCGGGACCAACCTGGGCAAGTTGGAACCGCTGGAGTTTGCTCAGGTTTTTTCCGATGGAGGGGTTTCGGTTGTGATTGCGGTGACCGCCAACAACATGGGCGCGGTGTGCCTTATGATGCACGGGCGCCTTCTGCGTGTGAGACTCCGACAGGTCATTCGGGTTGGCGCGCGTGACGACTGCATGAGAGGATACCGCACGGCGGCCGAGACCGGGGCGCTTGACGGGGGAAGAAGTAGTATTGGAGGTCGGCATTGTAGAGAATAGCTCCCAGAGGAGCCACAGACGAATAATCCGCGATGCTCACCTAGAACGTGGGGATTGGCCGAGGCAAAGAGGTCTCACGGCAGATCGGAGAACATGCAGGTAGAAAATGAAGAGTCAACGAAGGCTGTGGTTACACCGGTTGAAAGCAGAAATCATACGCTGCGAAAAACGAAAGAGAGAGAGAGAAGGAAGAAAAGAAGAAATCGACGTTGATCGATCTCGCTGTCTTCGGCGATTAAGTTCAAGGAGCGAGTAATAATACGGTAATTACGTTGTGTGGGGGAGCCATGTGCCGGTCACATGACATGAATGGTGAAATGCATACGAGGTACAAGGTATTACTGCATCTCTTTTAAGCTATTCAATCTGCTAAAACTCTTCAGGTATCATCATGTAAGCCAAGTACAAATAACGCCCCAAATGCAAGTTCGCTACAGCTCAATCAAACTCTCCTCCACTGGCCGCGGTTGCTGATAAGGTGCTTGTCCGGGGGCTTCGGGTGCATGCGCGCTCGGTTGCCCAGTGGTCATTGGTGGGTAAGCAGAAGGTGCAGGCGTGGGTTGCTGAGGGTAATAAAATGATGGCGGGTGGGGTGTCGGGCCGGTTGGTTGCTGGTGAGGTGCCGGAGCGCTAGGGGGCACCGAGTAACCAGGCTGCGCATACCCGGTAGCGGCTGGCTGCTCGGGTACGGCAGACCCGCCTGGAGGTGCACTAGGTTGATACTGGGAGTCTCGCCGCATGACAGGTGATGGTTGGTATGGAGGTTCGGCGACTGGTGACTTGTTTGCGTCCGGATCAGATGGTCCCGCATAGTACTGAGACGGAGCACTTGGTGCGGGAGTAGTGGTGTAGTTATTGGGAATAGCGTTAGGTGACTGTGCCCCGAGAGACGGGTAAGGTTTTCCACCCCAGTTCTGGTGGTGAGCCTCGTTCGGCTGAGCTCCATGTGGAGTGTGCGACATATAGGCGCCGGTGACAGCGCCAGGTGCGCCTCCATACCCTTCAGCGTTCGCCGTCTGGGGTGCATACATGGCAGTGGGTGGGCGAGAGCTGTCCATCTGGTTGCCATAATAGAAATTCTCGGCCCCAGCTTGTGCATCCGGTGCCTGGGGAGTAAACCCGGGCTGGATATTCGGATATTGTGTTGCGCCGGGAACAGCCCCATAACCAAGACCGTGGTGTGGATAAGCATTGGAGAGGCGCTCTTCCAACATTCGATCGTAATACCTCACGACTGTTGAGAGTTTGGCATGTAGATCGAGTAACGTGTCTGTCGACGTCAGCTTGTGATTCTTTACAACACGAAGGAGGGAACTCACCATGCTTGCTCATAGTCTCTCCATAGCTACGGGCCAACTTCGGTCGAAGAGAACCGATACTTTCATATAACTCCTGGATCTGTGGCTCTCTGAGGATTGTTCCTGGGGGCTGATGCTGGAGCCGATCAACGAGCGTGGAAAATAGATGGATGTTCTCGGCTTCCACGGGTGTAAGTTCATAGGGGTTCTTGGGTAGGGGAGTCGGCGTGCTGGACGAATCACGGATTGCAGAACTTGGAGTAGGAACGTTCTTCAATGCTGCTGCATGGTTTTGTTTGTGTTGTTCCATGTCTCGCAGCGATGCTTCGATCGCTGCCTTGAGGTCTGCATCGTCCTCCTCGTCCACATGGGCTGGTCCGGGGGTGGGCTTGGTCGCTTCTGGGGCATTGAAAGTCTGCGGTACGAATCCCGAAGTGCCTCTGCCCTCGGCCTCATCGAGGCTCATCTGTAACGCGCGACGCAAATCTTCGTCGAATCCGGTATCCGCTTTGGCAGCTCGGGGTTCCATTGAGCTAGATTTTGTGATGGAGTTGTTTTTAAACGTGGATCGATCCGATACTCCCGGTGGTGCAAACGACTTGGAGTTCAATTTAGCATAGCATCCATCATCCACCCTGACAGGCTGCAATATTCCAAGATGTGGCAACGGGATGGTCTTGCTGGAACATTGAGCATCGAAGACATTGCCACAGTTTCGGCAATGGTGTTTGCGATTCATGAAACTGAAGGCTGTCCGGCATCGCATACAGACATCGGAATCAATCCACTCCGGAGGCTGAGACAGGACATGTTAGCTTCCACTTTGGCGGCAAAGGGCCGGGACACTCACAGCACTGCTTTCCAACATACTGCCGCTCATTTCTGTCTTTGGCGGAAATCGGTACCCCTCGCTCTGGAGTCTGCGATATGTGTCCCCAAGGTACATCAAATCCATTCGGCCCTGCGCAGCCATAGCCCAATTTTGGATGAGCTCCAACATCTTTCCTTGAACATCTGGATTTAATGGGGCGCCTTCGGACTTCAGTAATGACACAAGGTTATCCATGAATTCCCGAGATGCGATCTCCGCTAGAAAGTGGGTGCCTCCGTTTTTGACACAAGTATCTGTTAACTGCAGACGCGTGATCAGCACATGTTTTAACGTAACGCCGAGGAGATAAATGTCACTCACCTTCAGAGTCGCCAGCTGAATGTTGGGGTTCCTATTCTCGAGCCGTCGCTTCAACGATCTCATCGCTTCCTTGGGCTGCACGCTCTTCGATCGAACCATGTCGGATATTTCCAGATTGAGGGCAATGTCCTCCCTAGGAGTAGGTTAGCTAATCGATCACTCTGGGCAAATGGTCCACCAGGGAAGAGCCCATCTATAAGCGTAATCCCTGTAGGCAATCACTTACAGCGAGGAAGCCGTTGCCCGCTCGATCTGCTCGTCGAGCGGCGACGTTGAAGAAAACCAACCAGCCATGATGAAAGTAGACACCAGGCGCGATACTTGACACAAAGCGCAGTAGCTGCAGGTAGATGCGAATATGGCAGACTGATAAGTGGAGGAGGGAGCTTCCAGTTGACTAAGCCCCTGGCGTCATAGGCTTGGGGCGGTGAGGTATTGTCATCTGATTACCCCAGAGACATCCCGCATTGCGTTCCTGGATTCTGTCCTCTTTCCTCTCTTCTGGTCTCTCGCTTTCATTTGCTCTTTAATCTGAAGGGCCTCCAGGGTTACCCCCGAGATCCCTTCCTGCCGTCCGTCAACTTGAACATCATCATGCGCTAAGTCCGATCGCTGCTTGGATCTACCATGTCCTCCGATGCGGCGACTTTGCCATCTCCACCAAACATACCACCGTGGAAGGACAGCCGTCCTTACTCGGTGGGGGAAACCATGCATTCCACGCAGGTCAGCAGACCGGACTACCCAAATGGCTCTTCTATCCCGCGCCGCCCTCGATTTCCGAATATCAAAGACCTGCAGGACCAGGCTGCTTCATTAAATGTGAATGATAGCACACCAGTATGTGTCCTGATGGTCCCTCGAAGGAATATGGCCTCTATTTACTGACGCGCATTATAGCTCAATCAACTCCTGAGAACGGCTTCCGAGGCAATCGAACAAGCCATCACCCTTGTGGAGGATAACTACCCTGACAAGGCTTACATACAATATCTTCGCGCCTCTGAAATCACCATTAACATCATTCCCCATCATCCAGACTATCGAACCGCGGTCAACCAACGTCCTGGCTGGTACAAGGAGTTTGCCGATCTCATGATGTCGGTCAGGACCAAACAAGGCACGATGGACACAATTAAGCAGGAGATCATTGAAGATAACTTGGCAAGTGGAATGCAGCCCACCGGTGGGTTTGCGTCAAGGTCACCACAACAAGCTTCTGCCACACCGAGGAGCCGCGAGAATCGTCAGTCTGGAACAGACTCGGTCAGAATGCCGAGTCCTGGTCAGTTCCAAAGAATACCCGACCCTCCTACGCATATACAAAGATTCTCCAGTCCTCCGGACGACATGCTCGCGCAACGATTTGCCAAACTTAAGGCATCTCCACCCTCGAACCAATATGAGTTAGGTTCAAGTCCGGCTGAACCGGGAAGCCCGACTCTGGGATCTGCGGAGACTCCACTTCATCCGTCTAACGCGAACTCGGGGCCTTACAGCTCCCCGCCGCCAAGACGTCCATTAGGACCTCGTGGCATGGGATCTTCTGCCAGTGTGCCAACTATTCCTCCGAAAGTTCCACTTACCACCTCGCTCCCCCGTGCCCCGGACCCAGCTTATAGCCCTATTTTCACCGTTCCCTCGAAGCCTCCCTCGAATCCCCCAAGAACTTCCACCGAGAGCACGCGACCAGTCAATCCGCGGTATTCGCAATTTACCAGCTCTCCTCACAGGAGTCCGAGTCGCGGAGGCTTCGACGAAAATCCCTACAGATCCCTGACACCCAATGGGGTGGACTCAGCGCGAAGCGATTCACCGGATCTGCCATACAGCACTTCAATTACTGCACAGAGTCTGCTTGAGAGCCTGCGAAAGTTCAATGTGTTGCTCATTGATGTTCGGTCCCGGGACCAGTATGATAATGGGCACGTGTATGCAAAATCCATCATTTGCATAGAGCCTGTGGTCTTGAAAGAGAATGTGTCTGCCGAGGAACTTGAGGAGCGTCTTGTTGTTTCGCCGGAACACGAACAAACCTTATTTGAGAAGCGGAATGAATATGATCTCGTAGTTTACTACGATCAAAACGCTGATTCCGTCAGTTATCTCGCTGGTTCACCAGTGGGGACATCCGCGCCGCATTTGAGAGCTCTCCATGATACTCTCTACGAGTTCAATGCATACAAGCCGTTGAAAGCCGGGCGACCTCCCGCTCTTCTTCTCGGTGGATTGGATGCATGGATCGATCTCCTTGGCCAACAGTCACTCGCCACATCTTCGACTGCTGCTGTCATGAGTTCTTTGCAGGCCAGAAAACCCGTACCTCGTCCTGGCCGAGGTTTAGGAAGGGTTCCTACAATGGCTAGCGCTAATTCGAGCCTGGAAGTTCGGAAACGGCGACTGCGCGAGTTTACTCCACTCAACTCGAAGGAGTTATCCGAGTGGATGGAGAAATCCAAAAACGAGGAGATCGATACAAGCACCTACGGTGAGGAAGAAACAGAGGAGCCAGAGGAATCCACGCAAGAGCCTTCGACTCCATTTGTCCATACATATGAGGCTTTCTTGCGTCGATTCCCCGAGCCGCACCATGTTCAGCAATCTATGACGCACCCAGATTCTCGTCCGCCGCCTGGCCCTACTCCGAATTATGCTGCGCAGATGCCGGTGGCCCCGTCACGGCCAGCTCCTGCGGTCCCACGTCCCAGCTACAGCGGAGTTTCCGATGGCCGACATATTCAGCCCCACCTGGAGCGACAAAATTCTGCAAGCAGAACAGCTCTCTACATGCCAACCTCTAACTTTGGCCGTCTTAAGCTTCCGCGTACAGGTTTGACCAATTTTGGTGTCACATGCTACATGAACTCTACCATCCAGTGCCTCAGTGCAACTGTCATGCTGAGCAGGTTCTTTATTGACAATCGGTTCCGTTACTATGTACAGAAAAACTGGAAGGGATCCCAGGGTGTCATGCCAGGATTATATGCTAATCTGACTCGGTCGCTGTGGAAGAATGATGTTGAGGTTATTATGCCAACTTCTTTTCGAAATTTCTGTGGGCGGTTGAATCGAGAATGGGCTATTGATCGACAGCAAGATGCCAAGGAATTCTTCGATTTCGTGGTGGACTGTCTCCACGAGGACCTTAATATCAACTGGCAGCGGACGCCCCTACGGCCCTTGACATTTTCAGAGGAGATGCAACGGGAACGAATGCCGGTGGCCAGAGTCTCCAAAATCGAATGGGACCGGTATTGCCATCGCGAGGAGTCATTTATATCGTCTCTCTTTGCAGGACAGCATGCTAGTCGACTACGGTGCACAACCTGCAAAAAGACGTCTACCACCTACGAGGCCTTCTACAGCATCAGTGTCGAGATCCCGGTTGAAGGCACGGGCGACATCTATGACTGTCTCCGGAGTTATTGCAAAGAAGAAATGCTGAGTGGCGACGAGGTCTGGAAGTGCCCGCACTGCAAATGCAAGCGAATGGCCACCAAACAGATCATCATCACACGAGCACCCCAGATCCTAGTTGTCCACTTCAAGCGGTTCTCAGCATCCAAGACCCAGAGTGCGCGAAAGATCCACACCCCCATCGAGTTCCCACTCCATGGTCTCCGGATGGACGACTTTGTCATCTCATACCCGAGTGCCGCCCCCCAGGATCCCCGGGCTCCGCCACCCATGGGCGCCACCGTTCCGCCGTTTACATACGATGCCTTTGCTGTACTCCGACATCTCGGATCTTCGATGGGAAGCGGACACTACATTTCCTTGGTCCGCGATGCGGAGCGGCAATGCTGGCGGAAGTTTGACGATGAGCGGGCCACGGACTTTAACCCCCGGGACCTCCGATCACGGGATCGATTACAGAACGAGCAAGCGTATATTGTGTTTTATGAGCGAGTTCCAGCGAAATGAGCGTTTTAGCATCTGTTACGATCATGGATAGAGTATACAGCAATTGAATTGCTTTGAACATTAAAGTGTTCCGTCACCGCGGAAAGCGGATACCGACGGCGCTACCCGAGCCCTGATCCCCGAGGTTACGGCTATGCAGGGAAAAAAGATGGCAGTTGGGGTACCAGTTACCTGTCAGTCACCTAGTAGTTAGTCTAGTCTTGTGTATCTATCTACTGTATGTGCATAACAGAACATTGTGGCCAGATATGCCAGACTATCACTATTCATATGCACGAATAAGCAGCATCTGATTCGCCGAAACATGATAGTCTCTCTCAACACTTTTACAGCAGTTATTATCAGTTTCTATAAAGATAGGGAATGTAATTACCATCTGAGTACACTATACCGCCACCTAAATAAGGAATAATACGCAGTAGAGAACGCCATATACTCCGTTCTCTTTCGGGTGTAATTCGCGGCATCAACAGTCGGTCCCCACCGAGACCGCTCAGGGCGCACGTACCAACAACTTTCCCTTTTCCTTTGGATCTTGGACTTTGCACATATCTCTCTTCACTTCTCTGCACTTCGATCTCCCCCGGAATACCCCGTAAGTGTCTGTCAGACTTGTCACACTTGTCGTATCACCCCCAATCCCAACTTCTCCCGGCGTCCCTCTCCTATCGCGCTCCCTCCGCTCCGAGCCCAGGCCTCTCTGCTCCTGCACACCTCACAGACCGCTAACAAGTCTTCCATCACCTACAGACCTCTTAATTCACCATGTCTGAATCCACCGAATTCACCTTCAAGCAGATTGCTGAGCACAACACTAAGAAGGACCTCTACCTGATCGTCCACGACAAAGTCTACGACTGCACCAGCTTCGTCGATGAGCACCCGTACGTTGACTCAGTGTCTATATCTACACTCCCCAGAACCCTCTCCTCCCTCCCCGGAGATAATGCACTCTCCCTTACCCTGGCGCAAAGCGAGAAAGGGGGACGCGAGAAACGGAAAAAGAAATCCCGACAGACTCTTTTTCCCTCGCCTCTCCCCTATCGCACCACTCCACCGCCAATTTCACCATCTCCGCACCCTCAGATAACCTCAGAATCAAAAGCCGCTAACAATCTCTATAGTGGTGGCGAGGAAGTCCTCCTCGACGTCGGCGGTCAGGACAGCACGGAAGCCTTCGAGGATGTCGGCCACAGTGACGAGGCGCGCGAGATTCTCGATGGTCTCCTCGTTGGCACAGTGAAGCGCGTGGTACGTACAAATTCCCCAGCACCGCTGGACTCCTATTCAACAAAAATCAACACATCCAACCACGCTCTCTATACCCTCGGCAACGCGCCATGTGATCCCACATGCACACCGAACACAAGACATCAGAAATCATATACTAACAACCTCCAGCCCGGTGACCCCGAGCCCCAGAGCAAGGCAGCCCCCGCTTCCTCCTCATCCTCCTCCTCATCCTCCACCGCTGGCTTCGGCGTCGGTCTCTACGCCGTTATCCTCATCGGCGGTGCCATCGCCTACGGCGCATACAACTACCTCCAGGCTCAACAGCAGCAGCAGTAAGCCGGTTATGGAGTGTGGAGTGCGATACAAAGGTGTTGGTGTTTGTACGTGCAATGTGAATATGCATTTCTGCAATGTTTACAGCAATTAGAAGATCAAGATGAGCATGAATGAGTTCTATTTTTTTCAATGATTTCGCGAGATGGGGTGGGCTAAAACCGTGCACGTCTGAGTTGCATACACGTTTTGAGTGAGGGTTCCGGGTCTCGGGTCTATGTATCCTTTCTTCTTGTCGGATTTTCATTTTTATGCTTATATTCTTTGGTTAATTACATGTTTGAGCTGGACCTGGATTTCTCTGCTTCTTTTTTTATCTTTTCTTTAGATATTGATTTCAACAATCCTACTCTATAAGTTATATTATAGTTACTATAACTGACAACTTACAATATGACGACGATATGAAGTGGAATATTGACACTATCTCATATCAAGCGGGTCAAACAAAAAGGAAAAGAAACGCAGATCAACCAGCGGAATAGATTTCTCTTTTGGGCGTGGCTTTCCGCCCACCAATTCCGACAATTCTGGTATGTTCATTTGCCGATTGCCCTCCTTGCTCCTCACTCCGACATCTCCAATTGTCGGACGGTGTGGTGTGCGGGGAAGTTTATAGGCTTGGCTGTTCTTTGGGCTTCTATTGTATTCTTTTCCATATCTTCCAGGTACTGTGCACATTACTCCGCAGCTTTGTGTAGATTGTGCTGGTTTGGTTGTGCTTGGCGAATGAAGTACAGTAGATATTCGGATTGTGGGTTCAGTTGGTTATCCGGGAGGGAAGGTGTCGGCGAGATACACCACGTTATGTTGTACTGGGTCTTATAGCTCTAGTTAGATAGATACGTAGACGAATTCTCACTAACTGTTAGCTATTGACCGAAAGAAATTACATATACCCCGCTAATTAGATCTCAACAGAGTCTGATTTTGTCTGGTATAGAAGAGAAGAGAGATAGTTAGGGAATGCACATGAAAAATAGAAGAAAATAATAGCAAGCAAAGAAATGAGAAGAAATACTCCTTTTAAAACGAATATTCATGAAAATAGATATGACAAGTGTTAAAAAAACAAAATATTCCAGAAAAGAATGAGTCCAGACTAAATTAAAACAGCAAAAGGCGATCCCGCTCGCTCGCAAGTATTTATGAGTCGGCTTCCTATGTAGAGAGAAATAGGAAAAAAAATAAACACAAAATTAACCTTTTTAGAGGACTCACACATTTTACCGCGCACCGTTCAAACCATTCTGCACAGCCTCCAGAATCATCTCCTTCGCCTCGTCGATGCCGGCAGCACTACCCCGGATCTCGATTGCTTCACCGCGACCTTGGTCCTTGGGCACGTTGATGCGGCAGCCCGTCTTCTTGCGGATAGCGTTGATTTGACTGCCACCCTGGCCGACGACGTAGCGGTAGGTCTTGGGATCGGGCAGGATCAGGTAGCCGGTTGCGGACTGGGCGGCGGCCACGGCGATGGCCTTTTCGATGACCGCGCGGGCCTTGGCTACGTTCTCTGGGGAGCCGGTGAGGACCCAGGGGAAGGGCTTGGCGGTAGGGTCGGCGGCGACGTTGTTGTCGATGATCTTCCAGGAGTGGGCGTCGCTGGGTGCGTTGGGGTCGTCGATGATCAGGGGCATGTCGGGGGCGTTGGCGTTGCGGGTTTCTTCGGAGGTGGTGTTGACCGGGACGGTTTGACCGGCGTGGTCGACTGTTACCTGGTAGTCGTTACGGAGGCGGCGGAAGATCTGGCCGTTATCGGAGATGGCGTGGTGCAGGTGGTGGGGGACGTCAACGGTCTCGGCGTGCTGGTCCTTCAGCATGGACTGGAGGTGCTCCTTGGCGCTTTCGACGGCAGTACTGGGTCCCTTGAGCTTGACGTCGGTGCGGCCCGAGCCTTGCTTGGGGATGTCCAGGGTGACGTTGAACTTGGACTCGATGCCGCGACGGGTTTCGCCGCCACGGCCGATCAGCATGCGGTGCTGGGCAGTGGGGACCTCAAGGATTTCGGTGACCTGATCCTCACGCTCCTTGACGAATGCCTCGATGGCAGCGATGATGTTGTCAACGATCGTGCCATTGCCTTCAAGGCGGATGGTAGACTCAGTGCTCTCCGCACGAGGGAAGCGGACCATTCTGGCGGCACTGCCGTCGTTGGGGCCACCAGCGTCGACAACGATCTTACGGATGTTGGCACCTATAGAAAGTCAGTAACTGGAATGAGAGTAGGGTTGATAGTAACATACCGCCTCCACCGATCAAAGCCTTGTGGTACTTCTTGTCGACGTCGATAGACTTGGTGACGGTAGCATCAAACTCAGTAGCGCGCTGCTGCAAGATCTTCTTGGCCTCAGCAACCTGTTGCTTGGTACCCTTGACACGAATGGCAACGCGGCCAGATGCATCCGGCGCATCGTTGGCATTAGGAACATCAATTTGGGCACCAGTATCAGCACGGAGCTTGTCCATCTCACGACCGCGCTGGCCAATCAAGGAAGCGACCTGGTTCTGGGCAACTGAGATGGTAGCAGAGTGACCGTGGTCAATGACCCACTGCAGCAAGCTGAGAATTTCGTCACGAGCAGAGTCAGCACCCTTACTGGGGCCCTTGACCAGGACCTCATCAGCAGCCTGCTGAGAACGGTTAGGACGAGCACTAGCGCCAGCATCGCTGCCGGTCTCTGCGACGTCGTCGTTGACAGTGGCGCGGGGGAACTGGACGCGGACGGAGTAGCGGTCCTGGAGACGGTTGACCTGGTTTCCGCGCTGGCCGATCAGCTCGCGGTGGTACTGGGCGGGAATCTTGAGAATGTGGGTGGTCTCATCCTCCAGCTTCTTGCCCATGTTGATGATGCGCATGCGGGTTGCATCGGCCTTTGCCTTGGGACCCTTGACCTCAACCTTGCCGTTCTCGACCTTGATGTCGACGTCGAACTCCTCGCGGAGCTTGTTGATGTTCTCACCGCGCTTGCCGATGAGGAAGTTGGCGTACTTCTGAGGGAAGTCGAAGCTGACGGTGTATCCGCGCTCCAGGTCGTCCTGCTCCTGCTCCATAACGAAGGCCTCCAGCTTCGCGACAAGCTCGTTTACCAAGGCCGAGGGACCACGGAGGGAAATCTGGCACTGAGAGGCCTTGGGCTCGCCGACAATAGCACGGACGGGGATGCTGTCATCACCCTTGGCCTCCTGCTCACGGATGATGAATTTACGGGCCTTCTCCTGGTACTTGGCGGGAACGGCGACGGATTTGGCGATGACATCATTCTGATCACCAAGTGCGCTGAGAAGGAAGTTCTGAGCCTCTTGGAGACCCTTCTCGAACGCAGCAACCTCGGCAGGCGAGGGACGCTGCCTGGGGACCTCGAATCGGGAAGCAGTAGAAGTGGGGCCCTCATAGACCAACACGACTTCGGGGCTGTTGATGTCATCGGGGACCATAAGATGAACGCCATAGTCACTCTGGAGGGTGTTGGCACTGCGGTTACGGAGGTACTGGTGGAAGTACGGGTCGACAGGGACATGGCGGAGCTTGGAGGGAGGGAGAGCCTGGACGAGGTTCATGATGTCGGAACGGGCACGGATGGTGTTCTTGCCGTCGCGGGAGTAAACCTCCCAGGTAACGGGTCCATCAGCGCTGGGTGGGATAGCGATATGGGCATCGTAAGTCGACTCGAGCTCCTTGATAACCTGGCGGCGGCGGAGGTATTGAGAAAGAGCACGGGCGTGGGCAACGGGGCCAGCGGGGGCGGTAGGGTGCTGGCGGGACAGGTCAATGCTGGCCATCTGCATGCTGGTGGCAAGATCCATAGCGTGGTTAATACCAGCCTCAATCTGGTCGAGAGGACCGGTGATGGTTAGGAACTCGCTCTCGTCCGAGCTGGGAGGGAGAACGATGGCACATCCAGTCTGCGCAACGAATTGGTGCAGAGCATCGGCCTCGTTGCCCAAGATGAATTGGTGCTGGCCACGGTTGATGGCCAACTGGCGGAGGGTAAGCTGCTGGCGCAACCTGGCGGCCAGCTGCTCAATCTCGGCACGTGCCTCCTGTGCGGCAGCGCGTTCTCCAGAAATCAAAATATGCTTGTCGGGGCAAGGCACGAATTGGACCTGACCGGGTTGGGCTTCCTGGGGAGGAGGCTGGCTTGACCAAGTATCATAGCGGGGAACATTGACCTGCGCCTTTGTGCGCTCCTCAATTGCGCGCAGGTTGGCGTCGTGTGCGCCTGCAATGAAGGGGAAGAATTCGGGAGGGATGGTCTTCAAGCGGAAGCTCATGTTTGAGCCGCGCTCCTTCACAATGGCCTCGATCTCTCGGCGGGCCATCTCTGCAGCCACGGCATCACCCTCAATCAAGACGTCAATGGTGTCATCGTCATCATCCTCGGCACCGGCGGAGTTGTCGTCTGCGCGGGGCACTTGCACGCGGGCACCAGTGCGGCCCTGGATATCCTGAACAACGGCACCTTGGCGACCAATGATGTGGGGGCGGGCAGAGGTAGGGATAGGGACACGGACGGATTGCTAATAAAAGAAAATGGATTAGAACAAATCATGTGGACGTATCCAAGCACATACCTTAGATCCAACCTGTTGAGCCACCTCGCGGAGGGCCTGTCGTACTGCATCTACGGAGCCCTTTCCATCGAAGATGATTGAACCACCAGGGCCACCGCGCATGTCCACAGTAGCCTTAGATCTGCGAGAAATGTCACGGAGAATTTCAGGCAGAGGCTTCTTCAGCTGTCCGCGGGGCAGCATCTGAGACGGAGCGAGACGGAGCTGCTCCATGTGCTTTCCAGGAAGAGTCATGATACGGGGGATATCTATACCTGTGTCAGAAATGCCAAATCAATCACCTCCGGCGTCATTCACGTACCCATTGACTGAGCGGGCGAGCCATTTGCAACGGCAGCTGCGCCAGTCTTCTTAGCACCCCACGTAGCCGCAGCAGGAGCGGCAGGCTTGGGGCCACTACCAAGAGCCGGGAACAACTCTTCCGATTGTACATCGAATGTTGGCTTTTTGGGGGCGGGCTTGGTGGCGGGCTTGAGGGAAGGCGCTGAAGCAGTAGGCTCGGAGGCGGAGGGGGTAGGCTCAACCTTGGGCGCAGCGGGAGGGGGTTGCTTCAGATCCTCCTCATCGACCACATCCTCCACGGTGGGCTTGTGCGCCTCATCGCGGGCGTGCTGTTGTTCCAGCATAGCGGCGAGAGATCCGCCATTGGTAGAGGGGGCTTCGGCAGCCATGACGAAAGAAGTCAATTGCGTGGGGATGATCGGAGTATGAGACGGGGTTAAGTTTGGCCTATGCACAATAATCCTGCAATAGAGACTGGTCCGGGTCAGTATGCACTGGGGACAGGTCATGATCACTGAGGCGGAGCATGTGTCCAATGGCTGAGGAGGTGTTTGAAACTCACAGGTGGAAAGTTTAGTTTCCTCTTCTGAATTGAAACAAATTGAAGGGTATAGGTTATATTATAGGTGAGTGCCGGTCGATTCAGGAGAATGCCCGCAAAGATGCAATGTGGAAAAGTGGCGATCTGGACCAAGAAGCGCCAAGAATTAAAGCAAAGAAAAAGCAGGGGTTCTGAGAGAAGAACCACCTGAGAGAAAGTGAGAGGGAGAGGTTGATGAAGAGGTGAGAGGTGAGAAGGGAGAGAAAGAGGCGAGGTGAGAGGTGAAAGGTGAAGGTCTCGAACCCCGGAAGTACACAAAGTGACCGAAAAGGCCAGCTCGAGTCTCCGGGGGATTTCTCCGAGTCCGCTGAACATCTACCGTACATGTATATTTTTAATCAAGTATAATTTGTATGTATTATGCTAGTTTGAACCTCATATGCATTTATAATGTCCATTTGTCAATGGCTAAATTTCTAAATATCACAGGCTCCAACCCATTCTGTTTGATTCTAGATGGTCGCTAAAAGAACAGAGTAAGAGAAGGAGAAAATACGAACACATAAACAAGCTCTACTATACTTCACATAACTGACTGTTTCTATACTTGATTCTTTTTCTTTCTCTTTTTCCCTTTTTCTTTTCTTTACTTTTTACTTTGATGAGCATGAGCACGTGGGAAGTGGCCATGGCATACCATGTGGCCGTACAGAATGGGGCAATACAGTAGGATGATATCTGACAGAGTTGTAGCATTGGTCCATGAGGCGGCCAGTAGCCAACAGCCCTGCCATCTCCTCCCCGCTTGATAAGGAAATTTTGGTTTCTTTTTCTCCCCCAAAGCTTAACCTTCATGTCGAGGCAGATATGGATGCTTGGCAAGGAAAATATCAATCTCTTGGCAGATATAAAACTACTTTCTAGGCAGAACAAGCTCAATGGCTGATATTACAGGCATATCCAGCTATCCAAAGGAAACGGGAAAAAAGACAAAAGAGAAAAAACGCCCGATAAGGCCCACAGATAGGGGCGAATCCAGTAATTTTATACAGTGTTACCTTACCCACCCGTTTGTGGGGAGATATTCTCTCTATCTCGGACAATTCCGAGATTTCTCCTCTTCTCTCCTCTCTTCTTCTCCTCCTCCAAGGTCCCAAATATGGCCATGGACACGGACATGGAGAAGAAGGGCGAGCCCGAGCTGAACATCTCTGCGGTGGAGCAAGACCCGGTTAAACCACGGGGATTCTTCGCCAAAGTGCGCTACTATGAGGAAATGCTGGACCGCAAGATGGGCATTGAGTCGCACAGTCTTGACCGTGTCCATCCCGAGAATCGACAGTCGCCAAGTCCCGTCGTGATGGCGCTTATGTGGGCGTCTGCTACGATGAATATCAGTTGTTTCAGTACTGGTTTTTTGGGGCGGCAGTTTGGTCTTTCGCTTGGTCAAACCATTCCTATTGTGATGTTTTCGACCTTGTTGGGTGCGATGGTGACAGTGCGTGTTTCCTCCCTCTTTTTTGCATTTCTTGTTTTTTTCATGCTTTTTTTGCTGGGGGCAAAACTGACACTCCCGCGATTAGGGCTGGTGCGCAACCATGGGGCCGGGGACGGGTCTCCGCCAGGTAGCAATCGCCAGATACTCATTTGGCTACTACCCATCATCGATAATCGCTCTGTTGAACGTGATCGAACAGCTAGGCTGGGCATCAGTAAACTGCATCACAGGCGGTCTAGCCCTGAGTGCGGTCTCAGACGGCCATGTCTCCATCGCCGTAGGCGTGGTAATCATCGCCTGCGTGAGTCTGCTCTTCAGTTTCATCGGACTACGCGGTGTCCTGCTGTACGAGAAGTACGCCTGGATCCTATTCTTCGTTATCTTCATTATCATATACGGCGAGGCAGCCCACCGCGCTGATCTGTCTCCACCGTCGACTGCCGTGACGGGCTTGACTCGCTCTGGAAATGTGCTCAGCTTGATCAGTGTTGTGTATGGATCTAGTGCGTCGTGGAGTTCGATTGTTTCGGACTTTTACGTGCATTATCCTGTCAACACGCCTAAGACTAAGATCTTTTTGTATACCACTCTTGGTATTACCATTCCTACCTGCATTGGCATGTTGCTTGGTGCTTGTATCAGTTCGGCGCTGGATACGAATCCTGAGTGGAGTGCTGCGTATGATGGCGGTATTGGTGAGATCTTGAGGGAGATTATCTACCCGGATGGATTTGCCAAGTTCCTTCTAGTTTTGCTGGTTCTTTCTGGAAGTATGTATTATCCCACCCCATCCCATCCCCGTGCAGGGTTCTCACAAACAAACACTGACACTAACAACCCCAGTCGGTGTCAACGTAATCGCAATCTACTCTGGCGCCCTCTCAGCCCAACTATTCGCAACCCCCTGCGCGAAATTGCCCCGAGTGATCTGGTCATTCCTCGTCTTCGCCTGCGTCCTGGCGCTGGGCATAGCAGGCCGGAACCAACTACTAGCCGTGCTAGAAAACTTCCTCTCCCTGCTCGGCTACTGGAATACCTCCTTCTTCGCCATTCTGTTCATTGAGCATTACTATTTCCGCAAAGGAAATCTGGCCAACTATGATCTCGATGCGTGGAATACGCCGGCCCGCATGCCAATCGGGTATGCTGGTCTTGCGGCATTCCTTTGTGGTGCTGCCGGCTGGATTGTGGGCATGGTGGAGACGTACTATGTTGGTGCGCTTGCTGCTATGATTGGGGATTCGGGTGGTGACATTGCTAATGAGTTGGCGTTGGTTTTTACTTCTGTTTCTTATCTGCCGTTGAGAATTTTGGAGTTGAAGTATGTGGGACGGTGAGATTGGTTCTTTGTGGAATTGTTGGGAATTTGTGGTGGAATGTATGTCGGGTCTGGATCTGGGGTTATGTGTTATCCGTGAGGGCCTGGGCTTGGGGTGGTTATGAATTAGATAAATCAGTCCGCAGGCACATTTAATAGCAATGTATAGTTATCAAAGGATTATAATCCACTGTTCATTGACCCCATAAGGGCAAGTATTATATGATTAATGCATTCAGTCGACCACAGCCAAAATCAAACCAGCTGTATCGACAGCGCCAAGACGGCATGGGTATCGAACAAACGAGTACAATACTCTCACAAAAAGTATAAAACCCAACCATTGACAAGAGAAGAAGAAAGAAAGAGTCATGTATGTGGGGCCTCGCGGGCCTGCCACGAGAATTATGTGCATTAAGCAGCCTTAACGTAAGGCCAGCCGTCCTTCCAGCCGAGGGCGTTCCAGGCGTACATGTAGTTAGAGTTGTCGGAGACAGTGGTGCTCTGCTTCTTGGCGAGAGGATAGTAGTGGTAGTACATGACGAGACCGAGGTCCTTGTCATTAACCACGCCGGGACCACCAGGTCCGAAGACCTGGCCGTGGCTGGAGAGGAGCATAGTGCCGCCAGTCTTGGTGCAGGGAGTGCCATCGGCGTCAACCTGAGAGTATATATGTTAGCACAGCCACACAACAACAAATACTATACATGGGATCAATGTAGAGAGTGAACATACGAAGTCACCGAGACCAGTCTGGGAGCGGCAAACACGGATGTGGTACTCAGCACCCTCGGCAGGGAAATCCTTGGTGTACTTGCCGGCAATACCAGCAGAGTAGAGCAAGTAGTAGAAGTCGCCGTACTTGAACTCGAAGGAGCCCTCCTCGCGGTGGTTGAGAGTTGAGTTCCATGAGATCTGGTAGGGAGTAGCAGAGCCGATTTTGAGAGGTGTCTCCATCTCAACCTGGAAGATATCGCCCCAGAAGGAGCCGAAGTTCATGTAGTTCTTGCCGCCGATGCTGATCCAGGCTGGGTCGATACGGTTGTAGTTGCTGTTGGCGGGCAGGCCGACGACGCCGTGGTCCGTCCAGGAACCAGGCTCCATGGTCTTGGAGGTTGCTACGCCGATTTGTGAGTTCTGAGTGCCAATCTTGGAGAGCACGTAGTACATGTAGTACTGGTCGTTCTGGTAGTGTACATCAGGAGCCTGGATTCTTTGTTAGTTGTGTTCTTCATGTTGTGTTACCAACAATAAAGGTTGGGTTGGTTTATTATATTGTTGTTGCATTCTTACCCAGATGTCCTTACTGTCGACGCCATCGATGTGGATGTTTGATCCGTCTGGCAGGGCTGAGCCTACATCTGTCCATGGCCCCTTGACTGACGGTGATGTATGGATGTTGACACCAGTGCCTGTTGCGAAACGGAAGTACTTTCCATCTGATACTCGCTGGATCATAGAAGGATCATGAGTCCAGCAGTCGCCAGTGCAGGGACCCCGGTTAGGGTATGCACTGACTAGGGCAGAGGTAAAGAGGAAGAGAAGGCCGAGCATTATGGCAGTGATGGAGGAGGGAGAAGGGAGAAAGGTTGTCGAAATAAAGGCTGCTGGATAAAGAAAAGAAAACAGACGAGAAAGCAGGTTCAATTTATGTTAATTCGGATAATACTCGGCTCCTGGCAACTTCCTTTCATCCCCACGGCAGGTGCGCCAGGCGTTGGGCCTGAGTATGACCTTTCCACACGGGAGAAATCCTCGTCCAATCATTGTATGGCGACCCCTGTCCATCGGCTATGGTCATGTAAGGCGCGCATGTCAGTATTGAGTCGGGTCTAACTATACTCGGGGGGCCGAAAGGGATGGCTCAAAGCCGATAGCAACAGGGGAGTGTTGCTGCGTCCTTTTGTGGATCCTTGACTAGATAGGTAAAGAAACAACAATCGTCGACAAAGGGAGAGGATAGGGAGTTTGCTATCCCTGATGTGATGTCTCGCATCTTCGGCCAAGAGCTACATATTGGATCGGTTGCATATCCCCCACATATGTCCATGACCATCTCACACGATCGAGGTACGGTATTTCTCGGCAACAGGGTTGATACGACAGTTGTCCTGCAAGTGTGTGTTGGTCCCACATTCAGCTTCAGCAAGGGAGGGCTTGTTCCCCTTTCACACTAGCGAATTCTATGTACAAGTGTAAACTTTCAGTCCTATTTTAATCTCTGCCCAGTAAGCAGTGAGCCTTGAAATGGAATTATCTCTGTATGTACTCATCATATTTGCGGGTACATCTTGCGTGGCTTCATTGACACTTAGCTTGTTTGCGCCTTGTGGTCCGAGCAAAGATCTGCCCCCCATGTGGACCGCGAGGCCAATCACCCGCTAAAGTGCCTTGAGATCGGACCCCAAATCTAATATTTGCGATCAAGTCATTAAGGTCACGCGAAGTTATCATCTACTTGTAGATCTCGAAATATCCTCAAATGCGGGGACAGTCGCCATCTTGGAAGAGAATCACCTCAGGTGAAGTATACATGTTCCCAGACCCTAAACATATTACCCAAAGCCATCAGCCCAACCCTATGTCATCGACACTAAAGCGACGAATCAGACGAGGCAGACTTTTGAGCCTCCCTAGACCCCGCTTTTTCGTACAGTTGTAAATAGTGTGTTGGCCCCGGGATCTATCAAGTAAGACTCCTGGTTATTACGTTCAATAATTATGATTCAGCTGGGCTGAGTCTTGATTCGTGGCGATTGGATCGCAGTATTCTCTTCGCCACACCGCTATATTTAAAGTCTTGGTGGGGTCCGTATAAGCCGCCAAGTTTGGGGTGGCTATGGAATAATCTACGACATAGTCTTGGCTAGCCGATAGTCGAGATGCGAGGTGCAGAAATCCAGATTCGACACTTGGTATAATAAATGGGGCTAGGCGGATTGCATCAGATGAAGTCGATGTTGCACCACAGGCGCCTTAACCGGGTTCAGTTATCGCTTCCGAGAACATCCGTATGAATGATGGTTCTGAGGGGCGTTTATGGAGACGACATTGTTGGGAATTCCTTTCTGGGCTCTATTGTGCTCGGATTTACTCGATTAGTTTGAAATTTGGTGTTGGGAAGTGGAAGTGGAACGTTGACCAGAGATATATAAACAACACACTTGGTATCCACGAGACCCTGCGAAAATACGTTGATGATCCAAATCATGATTCTACATACTTGTTTTAGAACTAGAATCTACACATTCCAAAGTCTCGACAGGCACTTCCGTGGAGTTGTGGAAGGCTAAATGTATGGGGACCAACACATACACATTAGTGCTGACATTAGGATAGTCCATTTACATACTCAACATACCGACAGGTGATATTTTGGCCTCGGCTCTAGTTGCTAGTCTGAATAACCCAAGATGATCTAGATTCTGATCACCATCGATGGATTTGAGCTTGAAGATCATAAACTTGGCCTGACAATTCAGGCGTTAATCCACCCCCACCGTAACGTTAACGCTAACGTTAAGTTACTGGTCTATTACAGATAGCATTTGTCCTTAAGTCGGTATTTTGATGGGATTCACTCGGTGAACCTTATCATCTTTGCCTAACGGGATTCGTCTCTGATCTTAAACTCGAATATTGCTTTCTTGGTCTAGTCTCATACGGAGTATCTCATCGATGTGGCATATCTGCTAGCCGAAAGAAAACTTTTGTCTTAACAGATGTATATCCCTGGATAATCATGTCCAGTAATTTCTACACAGAGGCTTGAACTCGGTAGTACATGAGAGAGCCCTGGTTTCCCTATTCGAGCAATTTTGGACGGTACTAGACGCGGTATGTCGATCAAAACAATAGATATCATCCGAGCATTGCCTAACCTCAGCAAAATAGATGGCTCTCACAGGCAAAAGAATGACAGCAGCCACATTTTGTTTCTGTTCAATTTAAAACAATGGCTAGGGCTGATGATGCGGTTTTGGTAATGGATGATTGATAGTTTTCTTATTGAACACGCTTTTCGAGATGACCATGGCTGCTTTACAGTGTAACTGTGTCATCGTTTAATATTTTTATGCATAATGGTAATGGTAGTGTAATGCGGGTTATTTCCTTTTATATTGGACAGGTACAGAGGCTGGGGACGATGTTGCATGAATATATATTAGTTGCTGAGGCTGATCTCACACCAACTATTCTCTAATAGGTGGCTCTGATACAAATTCCAACTGTGCATTGTCTCTCATATCGTTTTTCCTTTCCGCATACTCTGAACTATACTCTGCTCTTGCCTCCCACCCCAAGCGTAAGAACCAGCACGCTCCTTTGCTTTCCCAGCCCGCGGATCATGGGCAACGAATACTCTAGTCCAGTTGATGAGAAGTATAATTGCTCACAGATATAGTGTCATCTTACAAACTATCTTCCTGCCAACTCACTAGATAGACCTGATAGGGAAGTCTTAAAACACCTTCCAAACTAAGCTGTTCTTGACACCCAAGTCAAGAATGAACCATGTCTTCATGGGCTCCAGAGAATCAAATCCAGCTGGGATATGGATATAGCCGTAGGCCGTGAGAGTGAGCTCGCCGTGTTAATCATATTCTAGGATTGTTGAATAGAACGCCTCTCCGATTGTGGTATGGTGACGTTGGGGACTTCCTGGTATATCGGTTACGCCGGAGTATATGATTACTCTTGCCGGGCTGTGGATTGTGGCCATGGAATCTGATTTTGAATTGTCTGGCTGTGTTGATTGAGTATTGCGACGCTGGTGTTAAGCGTGGGCTCCTCTTCTGATTACAGGTCAGCCACTTGATACATTATCTGCAGCAACTTTCGGACTGATGGGGTTATATCCATCTGTATCAATATATTCATGCTCCAACAAGCATAAAATGCCCACTGTGTCGCACTCAGAACATTGATGTTCTTGTATGAGTAAGTATTAGCTATCATAAGGCCGGTCTGCATATCTTTCATTTGGGAAGAATGCGCAGCCTTCTCTTTTTATATAAC